CCGCAGAGTTAATGTCATACTGTTCGTGGATCCATATTTCGCGTTCGATGGTAATTACACACCTGTCGTGCTATGCCGCAAACATGATTGTCGAAACCACGTACCAAAGGATGCCGCTAAACATGACAATAACATGTGCACTGCGCTAAAGTGGAAATAACACAACCCTAATCAAATTTTAGAATCATTGAGAAAACGAGAATTACTCGATCATCGAAAAATAGGAAGCAACGTCTTTAGGGCGTCCAAGTACCACATAACACCAGTTAAGGGTTAACATAAACGAAAATAACTACATTTATTAAAATATATTTAAACAGGACATCCAACCATCGTTGCTCCACAGTTTGGATACGTTAATTTTGCCGTCAAAGGATGAAATAATATGAAAATAACACTCACGGCTGGCACGGAAATTATTAAAAAGGATCCTTTTCATCGGTGTTCGCGATCCTTCTTGATTACTATTTCCCACAGCTTTGACATTCATATTTTCGCGTTTCAAAAAATTTCTATCTAATATACGCAGAATAAATATGCAAATTACTCTGCAAATAATGACTAATGACTATTTATCGGAAGGATCGAACGTTCTACTAAGGTGGCTACTGCCCGAGAAGAATGCTAGCGAAAGTTTTACCCGGGAAATGTGTGTTTTGCCCTGAAAGGAGCGCGGGGATGAAAATGTTCTAAGCTCGTGTCACCAAACAAAGATGAAACCCTGCTGTGTCGGCGATCGTGCGAGATATAATGAAGCACTCACGCTTGACAAAGGTATTCGACATGATCGTATCGATCGAGTATGAAATACGAGACGTGGACGGTGGTCCGTAACGTGTCTCATAAATCTTAACTGTACCGTGTTACCGTCGAACGCCGGAAACCGAACATTTGACAACAATTTCGAGCAAATATATAAACGGAGAAAGCGTAACGACAGAATTCTATGCCTCGAATAAGAAACAGTCCTAGTAATTCCATCTAAAAGCACCCCTCGAGGAGAAGAAAACAGAGAAGCGGGGTGAACGTTAAGAGATTAAAGATAAACAATATTCCAGCCAAGCGTTTACCGAACAAAGATGTAAATTCGCTACAATTTCCATAAGAGACATTTGTTCGTTTCTCTTATACTCGTTGGTAATTAAAACAATAAACACCCTCTTCTGTAGTTTTCATTTTCTATATCTATACGAAGAAAGGGGATGGAGAAAGCTTCTAGAAGTAATACAAAAGCTCGTGCACGCAAACACTCATACATAATAACGCGATAACGAAAAGAAAGAAGCGTCTCCTCGGGAGTTTCTTTCCTTTAGGTATGAGAAAGCGTCGAAGGAAACGATGATTCCTAACGTAACGAGGAACGAGGTTCGTTTCAGGCGAGTGTTTCAAAGAAACTTCGGAGAAGGTGTCTTGAAAGGAGAAGGATTGTGAGTAGAGGTAATTAGGCGAACGACATTGATGAAAGCGGCGACGAAGAAGGGAGAAAAAAACAACGTACCCACGCGGAAGAATTTAATTAAATTCCTTCAGTCGCGAGGGAATCGCGAGCGATGATCGAACGACACGTGTCAAAGGTCGATCGGGCACAATTGTGTCAAGGTGCATTTAAACCTAGCCGAGGTTCCCTCCGGCCCTCCGATTTCCAACTTCAAAGTCACCGCAGCATTCAGAGCCGGTTAAACGACCTGGGCTTTCTAACCGAACCCCGCGACGAGAACGTTTGCTCTTTGCACCGTATCATCCACAGGTGCTACCAAAATAATACGCCTCCGTGCTCGTTTCATTCTTCTATCTCGACAGGTCCTACGCTACTGCCTTTATTCCTGTCGCTCGTTCCGAAACGTTCGATTGTCCAGAGGGTGACGTTCCCGACTACTAGAATAAATGGTTTCCGGTGCTTTCATATAAATTCGACAACGAATAATCTTGCTCGACTCCTCCTACGACCGAAACAAAATCGAAAGTTTACCCACAGGTATGCATTTTATGCAGAGAACAGGAAACAATAAAACTACCCCCGATCGATCGAAGGAAGTTTCACGCAGGATAAAGACAGTTTGTCGCGAATTAAATCACGCGTTGGATAGTTCCCGTACAAGGATGCAATTAATTTGGTAAACTTCCAACTTGCCGTAGCCGTTGTTTGGCAATAGAAATCGCACAGAATGAACGGTCGATTCAGAGCACGGGTCTAATAATAGCAATACCAGCCCCTACAAATTCAGAGGGATAAACAGTCGTGAGTTCGCGTCTTTATCGTTGCAATAATCGGCGCGCGGTACTGTGTCGCGCGTCGAATAATTCAGAGAGGCTGTTTCGTGGTAAATACACGGCCCTGTAGTGGAAAACTGGTATCGGTTCTTGCGGGCAGAGGGAATTGGTGCAGCGTACCGTGTGAAAATATGCCCTCGAAGCAACCCCGAGTTTCGCTAGAAAGGCAAAATTGCACGCAAACCACCGAATTCTCGCGAGGAACATAAATTTACGGCTTAATGCCTCGAATCCTTCGAGAAAAATCGACTCGATCCCCGCCCACGCGTCGTCGGTTTCCCGCAATCAGCGATCACGAAGGCTGTTTTCTGTCGCTGATTGCAAACACCTTCGACGTTAAATGCTTCAATTTTGATACAAAGCTTTCTCGTTGAAAATATTGATCTGCGTGTAGGAATGCGCGCAATAAAATCCGGTATTTGCAAATGGTAAGCTTTATTATTGATAGATTTAATTTATGGATACGATTCTCAGCAGACTGTTCGTTCGAGGATGAAATTTATCTAAATGCTTGCACGATACGAGTATTTAGATTATAAAAACGTTCCAAGATGCACGTCCGTGGCGCAGAGTACACCGTCGCAAGTAGAAAAGACGAGCAATGGTCAGACCTAATCGAGCGTCGGCCTAATCGTAGTGAAACGCACGCACGGTCCAAGAATTTTTGAAATAACTTTTTCAAAAACAAACTATCCTATCCACAGACTTTATTCTTGCATTTTCTATTGATATTCTCGCGTAGAATGGCCATATTGCCGTTTGTGCCACCTCGTGCGCATCGTAGTATAACGTATGCGTTTAATTAAATATTCGATCCTGCGAGTCGAGGTCACCTGTAATACATTCTGAATATTCCGAACTCTTTACACGAATCACTATATCGTACGTGCACTGTTTTCTTTCAGTTTCACAAAGTGACGTATTTTTCAATATTTCCACGCTCTGTGCGAACCAAGTTTCTATCGTAGATACTGTAAAACTAAGAGAACTTTCGTTCGCGTTCAAAGCTTCTTCTTTGTTAAATGCTTTCAAAAGAATTGAACATCGTCGGGTCAATGTCTGCCTTCCGTGCTCCAGTTTCGACTGTTACTTATTGGAACGTGACAACGTAGCAGGAAGCTCATGAGATTTTATACGCCGCAAAGGATGTTTATGTGCATACGCGGCCGACCCAGTTTCGAACAGTCTTTTAACACAATCGGGGAGCACATCCAAAACGACGATCTCCGATAGATAAAAACAGCTCGGAGCTGGTACGATCCTTTACTCGGTCGAGTTACGTGATCCTGCAACCGCATAAAACTCGCTGCGTACTCGTTTCCTTTTCTTTGCCTCACAGATACTCATAATATGTATATGTATACTGCCGTAAAATTAAAACAGTCAATTTTCGAGAAACGTATAAAACATGTTGATGTAAAAATTACTTGTCGACCAAATCCCTGGTCGCAGACAACTTTATTATGTACAGCGATTGCTCGATCTTGGCGCGTAGGAATCAACCACGCAATAAATAGCAATTTTGTACATTAACATCGATAACTGGTCGTTGAAACACGAAACACCGGGTCGCACGTGCAACAGCGCTGTTCAAAAGCCACGTTCTTTCCCGCGAAACGTGATGCACGCTTTCCACGTGAGCTACTCTCCCGCCAATCGATTCCGTCGTTCGACTTCTGCCACTTCGCGAAACCCGAAGCAACGTTTATCACGACGCATAAAAATTTCGGACTCGATTATATGTAAAAGACGCGTACGAATTTTTATGACGCCCGTGACACCGCCTGAATATTTTACGATTCGAAAATACGATGCAGACGCTTTCTATATTTCGAGATAACAGAGTTTGAAATTATCTTCTTTTACGATCGAATCGGGCAGAAAAATGACAAGACTACGGTATTGCATAATGCAGGATTCAGTCGTGATTGTAAATCCCGGAAATGATAAACGGAAGATCGCTGCACGTCGTTACCCTTCATCGTCGTTAATTGCGTGTATACAGGTCCGACAGGGAAGCGTTTGTCGATCCAAATTGACATAATTTCCCTTGGAATTGGCGAGATTGACTCGTGAACGCGGCTAATCCGAGGAAAGCGAAACGGTGGAAACGTCGAGCGACTCGCGTGGAAAGAAGATGCTCCGTGTCGATCGGTTCGCCGTTTGTCGATTAGCAGTGATTTCGCGAACCGAAAATTTCGAAATCCGTGCATCGATCGGGCGACGAGACGCACGAAATACGAGATAGAAATGCAAATCATCGATACATTAGCATAAAGACAGATTCGAGCGAACCGGAGGCAAAAGGACGAAATTTTCTTTCTCCTTTTCGTCGGTTCTTGGCCAGACTTCCCGACAGTAGTAATGGATGGTCTGTGTCGGACGCAAAATTCAATTTTATTCTCTGCCGGTAACTACCGGCAATATCCGCGAGAATTGATGCGTCGATAACGCGGAAAATTTGAAATTTCGATCCTAGTTAAACTCTATCGGCTGAATCTCGAACGTTTGTACGGTGTCTGACAATTACTCGTTACTTCTACTTAAATTTTGGTCTCTGTAATGCGTTACTTCATCTCGTAAGTAAACAATTTGTGATAATAATACGAGTAAAGTGAACTCGTTAGCTTGTTGTCAGACTAGTAATGGTTTTAACGGAACGTCGATGCACTCTGCTCAAGACGAACGTCCCCCGCATTAATTCTTTCTTTTTTTTGTCTTGTTTTCAGCCACGGAAGAACTCGGTAGCAGTATGAGCACCACTCTGCCGTCCGCGCCGACCGAACTCCCACAATTCCCGAAGCTTTGCGAGTTACGCCGAAAGTTTCCTGTTCTGTACCGCGTGGAGTTTCAGGTGAGGACAATAAATCCCTCTGTGCGCTCTGCCGCTCGGACCAGATCTCTCTGCCCATTGATTCGACGATTACGAGGCCCGATTCTCGCTTTCGACAACTTATGGTGCCGACACCGCGCTGGGAACGAAAGGATCGACCTGGCTGCTGAGAATCACCCCCAAAAAACCTCCACTGCTTTTTTTTCTAGGGATCTGTACAGTTTTGGGTTTTTAGTCTGTGCCTAATAGTTCCAGAGTGGAAGATACAGGCAAAGAGTTTTCTTTGGCCCCTCTATCTTTTCCCAACGCTCTGTACACCACGGCGAACAAATTCCAATGTACGGGAGTGCCATTTCCACTCGTGTACCCTCCGAACACATCGCGCATACATACCTCCGGATCCTACAAAGTGCCTTAAGATAGGCAGACAGCCAAGACAGGACCAAGAGACATCCGGGAGACAAAGCGATCTCCTGAGAATAGGCGGAGGAATCGAGTAACTCGGTTCAATATCGGTTTCTCATTAGACCGCCATTTCGGTGCACGTATTTTAGGACATGCGCTCGAGACGCCACGTATCTTTTGACGCCCGTCGAACACCGTATCTGGCAATTCTGTCGCGAAAGAATCCCGTCGTTCCGATTCGTAACTAATTTTCTGCCCAGGTCGCGTAAATAACTTTGATAATCGAGGGACAAATAAAAGCTGAGCGTATCTTTTCACCGTCGATCGCTCGGGACGCAAATTCTCGGGAGCAAATTTATCTGGACGGAATCGCCTACGTTCGCAGGAGCAATTAAAGCCGTTTAAACGATTGGTTACAGCTGGATCAGCAGGGTGGCGAGCAAGTATCGCCGTGTACGCGATACAATCGGTAAAACGAAGCTCGGTGATCGCGATAAAGTGACCGATCGGCGAGAAACGGCACCGTTCGAGTTTCCAGCCTGGACGATTGATTGGAAACTCGTCGGGGCCGATAAGGAACACTCTTGGCAAATGGAGTCGGAATAATGTTACCGGCTACGAGCCGACCAAAATTCAATCGGTGTCGCTAGTGGCTCGAATCCGATCGATTCGGGCGCCGGATGTTTACCGATGGCTGGAAAATTAAATGATTATTCGTGCCGATGGCAACGAGTGGTCGCCAAATGTGATTGACATGAATTAAACGGGCGCGGGCTGTTGGACGTTCGCTGCCCAGACTGCGTGTGCGTTTGTACCTCGACAAACAGATTGATCCGACGGAGTTCGGTATCGCTTCTCTGACGCGCGCGATTCGTTTGTTTTCGAGTATTCGTTGCGTTTATCGGGAACTCTTATCGCCGGGAAACAGTCGACGCGATACGATCGCGAAAACCATCGAACCACCAATTTTTTTTTATCGAATCGCCCATCGAACCGAGGAAATAAAAAAACTTTGCTTTCTTTTTCAACGTACCGGCGAGAGAAACGGACGTGTTTTCGATAGCCTTACGGGTAAACTTGTTTGCTTGTTTTCAGACAGCGACCAAGGTAGAAACGCACGCGTGCAGACACGCCACGAAACCGGCCAACAAGGAGAAGAACCAGAACCAGAAGTGTATTCCTTGTAAGTGTCAACGGGTTGAATCATCGTTTCGTTGACCGACTGTTTTCGATTTGTCCGTGGAGAAAGGGATTCTACGCGATCCCGTAAATAATCGAGGCGCGAATAGCTGGCGGGCCGGGCCACCCCGTGCACCGTCCAAAGGGGGACGTCGGTGGTTTTAATTATTCACCGAGTAAAAAGAAAGAATTCCGGCCGGATGACCGGTTTAATTAGAAAATGCAGTTATGTTCGCGCCTTTCGTACGCTCGCAGCCGTAACACGATCAGGGGAAACGTTGAGGTCGACGCGAACGGTTGCTCTCTTCGCACACGAGCACCTTGATGAAATAACGCCCGGTCCGAGATTGATACGGTTTCTCCTTTTCCCTGGGAAGTGTTCGCGCAAACGAGCTCCTCGCGAATACGTCCAAACGAACCCTCGACCGCTTTACTTTCCATTCGCCCGCCTTTCGACGACTTTAATCGCGACAGTTTTTCAAATCAAACGCTACAACTATCGTTTTAATTTCTTCCGGTAGAAAGAAACGCGCCTGTCGATTTCACCGGAACAAAATGTATGTCACGTTGTTAACACCTGTTCGTTTCTTGGCCCACAGATGATTACAACAGGGTGGTTTTGGATACGCTAGAAGGCGAACCCGATTCCGATTACGTTAACGCGTCTTATGTAGATGTGAGTAAGAACACAATCACGAGATAACATCGTATTTTCTAAAATAAACCGACCCTAAATTCCGGCGCATGTTAATGCTGCAAAGATCAAGATCAAGGTTGGCCGTAATATCAGCCCCCGAGGACGATATCGCGGCAGTAAATTTGAATAATCCATAATCGCGTTTCTTAAAATAGAGCACCGAACTGTTCCCGCGACGGTCCCGCGGCGGGAAAAGTTTATTTTAATGTCGCGATACCGACGCCCGTGTCCTCGATCAATATTCTCGTTGTATTTCAGAGTATATTGAAACCGAACGCTTACATCGTGACACAGGGACCCATGGAGAACACGGTGACGGAATTCTGGCGCATGGTGTGGCAAGAAAGGGCTTGCTGTATCGTCATGCTCACGAAGACTTTCGATTTCATCAGGGTGAGGACACTTCATTAAAACGAGCATACGCGAGAAGCCCCTAAACGGATTTCGACACTCCAATTTATCTCGAACGAAATCGTTTCAAAGACGGCGTTGTATTTCAATTTCGACAAGACTCGTAAGAAAAGTGTTTATTTTAAAGAGTGCTCCGGATACTTTCGTGAGACGGTGCACGGTATCTTTTGCCGGCAAGTTAATGTTTTCTGTTTACGTTGACCTGTTTTTTATCTCTTAAAACGCGTGCACGTTGAACGTTTCACGGGACGAGCAGTTTTTTTCATTCGAAAAGTGCAGCCGCGCAGTGGACGTAGAACGTTCCAACGAAGCACGTTTGCAAGCGTTTTCGCACATACGACTTTTATTTACGCGACCCGTTCATCGATTTCATCCACACGGTTTTAAGTATCTTTTGGCAAAGGGAACTTTTTTTCGCGTCTAAAAATATCCAACGCGGTGAAATTTCCCGTGTAAATTTTATTTCTAGAATGGTTCTTCTCCTCGTCTCTTTTCGCGTAAGCAAAATACTTAAATATTATTATTAGCGATGCTCACCGGTGGTGTGGAGATCCCTTTCGTCGATCCTCGAACGGTAACGAGCCTCGGTCGAATCGATTTCAGGTGATGTGCGTCCAATATTGGCCGGCTAGCAAAGACAAAGACGAAGAGTACGGAGGCATCGGGGTGTCCGTGATGAAGGAGGAGGAGCTCGCCAATTTTCACATACGGACCATAAGGCTCTACAAGAAAAATGAGAACGACGTGAGTGTACTTTCCGGCTGCACCGCCTTTCGCGGATTCATGCGGGAGACGTGAAACACCGTCGAGAAAGAAAAGAAATTTACTGTACGGTGCGTGCGGGGCAGGAAGCCTCGTAAAATATTCGGGAACAGAGATTCGTCTGCAAAACTAACACGATATTCGATAACGAAACTACTAGACTCCCTGAAAAATATTGTACGAGTAATCCTTTCAAGACTCGATTTGTGAAAGCGGTGGATTTACGAACGATTCAATTTGGGATGCAAAACCTGCATGTTTTGGGATAAATTCTATCCGGTATATGTATAATACACGAGGAATAATAGTGAAAGGCAGGAACCCGCGCGAACTCGAAACTTTGATCGCGAGTAGACTCCAGCAAGGTTCCAGCAAGACTGCTTTCCGAAACGAAAGAAAGTTGGTAAAAAAAGTTGCCGGAATTAACTATAAGGGAAGTAGCCCGTACTAGTTCGGGCTGTTCCGAAACTAGGTGAATGCAAAACGATACGGATGAGAGATAGGAGCGGAGGAGACGATGAGTTTACTCAAACAGCGTTACGTAAGACTTAATTTTATAAACGCCTCGGAAATGGAATGAAAATAGAGAGACCTCTCAAATTCCGCCTCGATTGTTTCTTTGCATTAACATTCACGGCATATTAACTGCTTTGCATAATTCCTCTCCAAAGAAATTATTCCCTCCGCGCGGCGCGTCGAATCTCTTAACAAAACTTGCGTTCTTGAGCGCGTTCAAAATTCTCTATTATTTTTTTAATGCGTTTCGAAGTATGGAAAATTGAAGACGCGATATAATATGGACCGTCGACGTTCCTGTCGCGGCTGTAACGTCTCGAACAGCGATCAGCAAAGTGTAATGTAAATCTTTCGAGGCAGTTAAGCGGGACAAGACTGTCGGGGAGTACTGTTAAAGCGCAGTGCATATGCGAATAATGCATCGCAGTTGCAGCGTTCCTTTATGCAAAACGGTGAACTCTCCAAGTAGTTTGACTTTACCGACTTTGTGTCTTCGAGGCAGCAATTCGTAATGCGGCGATATTCTGATAAAGCGACCAAAAATATGTCGAGAAATCAAACGTGAATTAAATTAGGAAAACGTAAACGTCAACTATCATTGGCTCGAATTGTTTGTTAGTTTCAATTAAATAAACAATTTATAGTCCAGTTGTATGATCAATAGGAAGTGCTGAGACTTCTTTAGGAATACAGGATCAAAGTAAGTGGTAAAATAAACATGGAAGACAGCAAAAATTATAGTAGCTGGGATAGTCGTTGGATAGGGGATGAAATGCCCTTTAACCCCTTCCCGTGCCATTTACCTCCACGAAATCTGGGCCAAAACTATAGGTGTCAACACTAAACTGCTTTGCAACAGAGATTATAAGAATCCTGACCGACTCCTGCGGCGTACTGATAAGAACTAAAGCTCCAATCACGATCGTCATTTGCCGACCTCGAGCCTCGCTCGTGATGTTTACGTTTGGCCCGACCTTCGGTTCGCGAGTCTGGCTCGTGATATACATGATATACATATGTATATGTTTAGGCGAAAATCTTTGTCACGTATCAGACTCGTTACACCACGGGAAGGGGTTAAAATGAGATATTTATAAGGGTCCGAAGCGTTTGTTTACTACGGCCTTGTCAAGGCCGTTGACCGCACGTGACTCGTAGTAAATAGTAAACGTGACGTCATTCATTCACTCGGTCACTCGGTCAACGTGCGACAAGGAGCTCCGACGCGACACGTTAGACGAAGACAGCGATAGTCGAATTAAGAAAAATTACCTTTAACATAAATTACGATATCTCGAAAACGGAAAGTCCGATCGACAAAAACCAAAAGCCATTTTAAAGGGGAAGGTTCACCGCCGCTAACAATACCTTAATAATTAATAAAACACTAGTAGTTTCGGAACTGCACGCTTCTAAAGTTTAACTATTCTTAATACGCGTTGTTAGACTGTTTTAAGACAGTGGAAACCAAAGATTCTCTCCTTTCGTTATACATATATAGAACATCGAATATCGTGTAATTGTTCAAGGTACAAAAATTCTTTATGAAATAATCTAGAATATTTTTCTTTCTGTATTTTTATAATACGTACAAAGTCGTTCGATTTAAAGACAGTCCAAAAGTACGTTCCTTCCAGATTTATGGTTCGATTTAAAAAGCACAGAACGATGTTCCGTCGAAAAGCTTCGAATCGCCGGAAAGGTGGAATAGTTAAATATACGAGTAAACTATTATCCGCAAGCGGTCTTTGGAACTATTTCTGGAACTCGTCGTCTCCGATGCTTCGAGCTCGCGTCGCTTTCGTTGAGAATGATAGTTTTAAACGCGAGACACTCGGGTTTGCGTGCAATTGCAGGAAGTGACGGAAGAAAGAACGTTGTTACAATTCCATTACACTGAGTGGCATTCGCACACGTGCCCGTTCGGTAACGCGGTTTTGGAGTTTCGTCGACGAGTCAGGGCTGTCGTCGGGTCTACCATAAAGAACGAATCCGGTCCCATGGTCGTCCATTGCAAGTAAGTAAAATTAGAAAAGCACCGCGCGTGAATTCTCATCGAATCGAGTAAAAAAATGTATCTGTATTCTGTTGAAAAAAGCGACGGCGGCGGAAGATCGGGGGTGTACCTCGCGATAGACGCGAACATGGAGCTGGCCGAGGAGGAGGACGCCTTCGACGTGTTTGGCTACTTGAAAAAGTTGCGGCAGAGTAGAAGAGGACTTATCGAGAACTTGGTAAATTTCGAGCATCGATCGTCTCCTTATTGCGATTCGAACAAGACTAATATTCTTCGGTGACGCAGAAAATATTGCAATTTCACGGAAAGTATCGTAATTCCGTTACCGCGCGCCTATTTCAGAAACGTATTAAAACCGTAATATGTATAACATTAGGAAAAACGCATAGACGCGTGATCGTACTTTGCATTATTCACGACACGATAACCGTAAAGCGTCGGAAATATTCAGAGTCCCGTCGCGACGATAAAATCAATTTTCACGAGTGCTTTCTGTTTATCCAGGAACAGTACAAATTCGTATACGACACGTTGGAGGAGTTCGTGGTGTGCGGCACGTCGTGGTTTCCGGTTTCGGAGCTGTCGCAGCGTCTCAAGCAAAAGAGCGTAAAAAATCCGATAACCAAGATAAATGAGTATCAGCGGGAATATCAGCAAATTTGTAAGCAAACGCCGCGTTTTACGATTGGAGATTGCGCCGGCGGACACAGGGCCGACAATAGGGAGAAGAACAGAGACGTTCTGGTAGTACCACGTAAGTTTTCGCCAACGGGAAAACACTTATCAAAACCGTTCCATAAAACCGGCAATCGATGTCGTTATGGGAAATACATTTCGCGACCGTACGGACACTGGAGGAAAAGGACCGTATTCTGCATCGACGTTTACAATCGCGTTCAACGGTTTTATACGCGATGCTTTTAGGAACTTTCCACTTTACCGGATTAACGATAACTTCTAGCCGCTAAACAATTTCCAATATCTTGACATTATCCACTCGCGGGACGAATGTAATAACAAAAGGCCGGAAGAGAATCAATAGATTGCTCAAAGTAACCACCCCCCACCTTACGACACGACGGAAAAACTGTCCCGATAGCGTACAAGTAGCCAACCTTGTGAAAATAATAACAAGCCTGTCGTTAATTAACTATTGCGTGGATCGAATTTACTGAATTCTGAAATGGAACGAATTAATATTTTTCTATTCAGCCGACAACTTTCGACCGTACCTCACCAGTTTCCAGGGTAATAGTTACACCGACTATATAAACGCTGTCTTCGTGGACGTAAGTTTGTTATTTATTCCCTACACGGCGACCAAAGTATATATCGTATCGATAAACCATCGTTTAACGACGTTCCTCGAATTCTGTCTAGGATCGTTAAACCGTGGACGTTGAAAGTCTAGTCTTTCGCGCGTTGCTAGCGAATGATTTTTATGCTTTCGTCGCTATTTACGTTGCACGATCCGTTAAGGGAAAGGGTGTCGATGGTAAAAGTCTATTTCGAACAGGGCTACACGAAGCCAAGGGAATACATCGTAACGGAATGGCCTCTCCGACACACGTGCGGTGAGTTCTGGTCCTTGGTTTACGACTACGAGTGCGCGGCTGTGGTGGTGTTGTGTGTACCGCCCCCGGGCTCCACGAATTTCCCGAGCTTTTGGCCAGAGGGGAAGCACTCGAAGAAGTATGGTCCAGTGTTTACGATCGATCACATTAGTCACAATCACTATACGAACATCAAGACTTGGGTGAGCAAAGAGCAATCGGTCGGTCTCCGTTTCTTCGTTCGCGTCTCTCGATTCGCGATATACTTTGTCGTTGGATTTCTTTCGCAGATCTTCAGGATAAATAAGAAGATCGTGTCGCTGACGGAGCTGATGGCCGGCGTGAAAGCTCCGCCGAAAACCGTTCAGTTGTTTCAGCTAACTTGCTGGCCGATGGGCCACAAAGTACCAACGTCCACCAACAGTCTGGTCGAGCTGATGAACATGGTGGAGAGATGGAGGCAACGAACCGATTACGGTCCGGTGGCCGTCGTTTCACCGGACGGTAGGAGTCGTTGCGGCGTTTACTGTGCCGCGAACGCGTGCATCGAGCAGGTGATACAGCACGGCGAGGTGGACATTTTCCAAGCAGTGAAAACTGTACGGAGACACAGGCCCCAGCTCGTCGAGAACATGGTAGGTGATCTGTTCGTTCAAGTTGCTCCTCTTGTATCAACTCTCTAAGGCGTAGTTCCGTTACGTTTGTTCTCAGACGGAGTACAAGTACTGTTACGACTTGGTGCTGCACTACGTGCTACACTATCTCAACAAAGACATGAACGAAAAGAAGTGAGAAAGCGAGTTGAGGGACGAGCTGTGGTTTATCGAGTTCGGTCGGGGGGCGGCTCTGCCGCTGACGCCGGAGGAAGCCCCGGTGGACGGTGAACCGATGGTACCGTGCGCCCAAGGTCGGGTAATCGTGGAGACGGCCAGACCGGCGCCGCCGTATTTCGCCACCTGCACCAGGTACCGTAGAGCGGTGGTGGTGACCAGCGCGCCGAACGAGATGGTGGCGAGCGTGTCCGGGACCACGTCGTCGAGCGGCACGCAACTGGACCAACAGTCGACGTGTTCCGTGAAGAACGTGCCGATCCCGTTGTACAGTACCGCGGCGAGGCCGGAAGACCTGGGCGTAACGCCCTGGTACTTGGAGGATTACCCGACCATAGACTCCTCGCCGGGCCCTACGGGCGATCGGAGCTCGTATCCCTCGTATTTGTACGCCGTCGAGGCGGAACCGCTCGCCAAGCCGGACACCACCGTCTCCACCAGGAACAGCAGCACCGAGAACGAGCCTCCGCGGCCGACGTACGTCGGCACCGTGCCCAGAAAGGCCTACATGGATCTCAGAGACGCGATCGCTCTGCTGGACGAAACCTGCCCCAACCAGGAAGTCAGTCCGTCCCTAACTCCGCGAACACCGAGAACCCCCTTGACCCCGCACCCGAGAAACAAGAGGGCACGATCGAAGAGCAGCGACAACTCCTCCAACTACAGCAACGATCGGCTGAGCGACCGCTCCTTCGAGAACGCCCGATCGCAGGACAAGGAGAAGAAACGACCGTTCCTGAAGAAGATCGGCATATCGAAGACGGAGGACAAGCCGTTCCTCGCGAAGTTCGCGCCCAAGATAATTGGCAAGCCGTACTTGGAGAAAATCGGCCCCAGCAAGGCCGTGGAGAGGCCCTTCCTCAACAAGATCGGATCGTCCAAGACTCTGGACAAGTTTATCTTCGACGCGCCGCGTTACAAGCAGAAGAACGCGAGCAAAAGCGAGACGACCACGACCACGACTACGTCGACGACCGCAGCGAAGTCGGAACAAGTCGAGACGGTCTCGGAACCGAAGAAACCGGAAGAGTACAAGGCTCTGACGACGATTCGATCGTTCGGCGTCGAGAGGAGACGTTCCGGCAAGGGTCATCTGTTGAAGATGTACTCGTTCGAAACGGAAGACCTGGAGTCGACGGTCCAGGTCGAGGATACCCGGGACCCGTTGCGAGGAGGGTCTCTGGACGACGTGCTGGACTCGGGACCGAGCTCTCTGCCGTTGGAGACCATCGCCGACGAGGCCACCAAGCCGGAAACGAACCAACGGCCCGCGAACGGCGCCGAATTGCTAAAGTGTCGCGTCACTACCAGCGAGGAGATCATCTACACGAACGCGAGCTTCGGCTCGGACAAGGAACCGAACAGCTGGGGGAACTCGCCCAAGAAGAAATGGTGCCTGATCAAAGGCACCACTGTGCCGAGGACGCCCACCCGTTGCAAGGTTCTTCGGGGCTCCCCGGAATGCAGTGTCCCGAATTCGCCCACGAAACGTTCGATCTGTACGGACACTTCGCAACCCGACATTCCGGAGAAGAGCGTCTGCTCTCCGACCAAGACCAGGAGACAGGCCTACGAGGACGACAAGTCGAGCAAGCAGGCGCAGTTCGAGAGACGCGGGATTTCATCGGACAATCTTCTGACGAAGGATCGGTCGTCGGTGGCCGCCGCCGCCGCGAAAGAGACCTCGTCCGTGGACTCGTTGGCCCACCGCGGGGCCCACGAGTACACCAAAGAGACGTTCAAGCAGCTGCAGGATAAATTCAAGTACCACGAAATACCGATGGAGACGTACGCGGATTTCAAGAGACGAACTCGCGGCAGCGTTCAGAGCGTGATCGCCAGGCAGCAAGACCGACCGTGGACCAGTGCTCGCGACGACGTTCCGGATGATACCACGACCAAAGACACCGAGTCGTCGGCGGAGTCGATCGCGGAGAAGAAGAGCGAAACCGTACTGCCTCGCGGAGGCACCGTAAGATCCGTGCTCAAGAAGCAACAGGGCGTCGATCATCCTAGCGACCAAGAGTGGGACTCGAATTCGTCCGTTAGACGCCCGAAACGACGGATCTTTCACGAGCCCTCCCAGGAGACCATGGACCTGCTCACGGAGCTCAGGAAGGTCAAGAGCCAGCTAAAGACCCCGTCCTGGGAGAAGGATCTCGAACTCGAGACGAAACCCGCCCGCCAACCGAAGCGTATTTTGTTGACCGACAAAGAATTCTGTCTCTCCGTCGAAAGGGAGAACAGCATTCGACGCCCGTCGAGGATACTGAATTCGTTGGAGAGGACGGAGGAGGGTGCGTCGAACGGGAACCAAGAGGACGACAACAAGGAACCGGAAGAGAGGAAGGCTCCCGGGCCAGCTTTGTTCGAGAAGAAGTGTCTGTCGTTGGACTACGTGGACGAGGATAAGCCGCAGAAGCCGGAGGCCAGGGCCATCTCGTTGGCCTCTACTAGGAATTTGGACAAGTCCGGGGAAATGGTCGACTACGCGGACTTTGCGTTGATCTGCGACTCGAAGAGCTACTCGTCGGACGTGTTCAACACGCCCACCGAGGAGACCAACGAGGAAAAGAGCGACAACGACCTGGAGAAAGAAATCTCGCAGAAGATGGATCGGAATCATTGCACGGAAGTTGATATCACCGTTCCGATAGATCAGAAACCGAGCAGCCCGAAGGGTAGCGTTCACGTTCAAGGGAGAACGAGCGATCTTTACGAGATCATATCCCCGAGATCAACGCCTTTCCGAGTGAAAAAACGACTCGGAAAGATTTCCGTCGAGGACACCGTCAAGCCGGAGGGTTTCACCCTAGGTTCTAAGGTCGACTGCCAATCAGCCGTTGCGCAGAAACGGACCAAGTGCTTCCCTTTATAACGCATGTCGACCTGCCCGTGGGCGAAACACTCTCTGTGACACGACGTTTGTCTGTTCCTCGTCCTGAAAGAAATCACAGGTGAAAGGTGAGTCCGATGGCAAATTTCTTCGTCGCGATTGGTTGCAACGATCACGCTTTCCTATCGAAAGATTCGTCGGAAACGAGACGCTTATCGATACTCTCGCATCTCGTCTCGAAGTTTTTCACGCCGCGGTCGTTCGAAGCTTGCAACGTTTCTGCTAGCATCAACGATTTACAATTTCAGTTCTATTTTCTACCAATCGAGCCAGAGAAAATAGAAGCGATCCCCAGTTTACCCAAAATTTCTCTCAGGACGATAGAACGATTAATGGCAATTAATACGATAGTTTGCTCTTGGGGATAATCGTGAGCACTAAACGAACTACCAAGCTTTAATTTTCAACGAAATACATAGGCATTCGTGCGGTTCTTTCTTCGAGCGAACATCGGTGAACGAGAACGAATCGTCGTTACAGATTTCCACGATAGAAACTATTTTTACTCGACCAACTTCTTCTATCCGTGAACAATGAACACGCAACAAGAGATTCCCTCTTCTTTAGAGCATTCCAAAACAAGGAAAACCGATAAGATAGACACGGAATAAGGATTTCAGTTCCCTTGAAAAGTAACGCGAGCGACGCTCCTTCCGATTTCGGGTTTTGGAATACCTTCTCCAAGATTCTCGTCGCGGGGAGTGGTCGAAACGTTCCACTCGCAGGTATATTCTAAAAACGTTATCCCGACCACTTTTTAACCGACGTTTCGCGATAGGAAACGGCTCGATGAAGCTCGATGGCCGTTTATTAAAGTTCACGCGGATCGTTGACAATTCTTTCCGAACGAGAACATCCGTCAAACGACGTGACCTCTCTGTCGAGCAGTGCCTTGTTCGTGGATATATTTATTTAAACGAGATAAAGCGAAACAAATGTCCTATCAAAGATATTATTAAAATTCCGACTGCGGGCCGGATGTTCTGAATGGGTCCACGGAGTTGCGCTTTCGGCGACACGATCGACCACGTATCCGGTCTTGGAAGGCTCTCTTTCATGCGTTCCCGAATCCCGCCAATAATTCGAAACTCGATCGTATTTGTACGTCTTCGTTCCAACTTAATCAACGGATCTCTTTAAGAAACGTCCAGGCGAGCGAAAGCTCGTTTGCGAATGAGAAATTCTTTTATCATAAAATTTCCTCGACTCTAATCGAGTTTCCAATTACGTGGGAAGCTAACGAAACCCTCGAACGTTTCTCTGATTTAACGAGTACTCGGCCCGGCGTATCGAGGAATGGATCAAAGAGATGATCGTGAAAGATATGTATACTTAAGCTTACGAGAGTGCAACTCCCACGCTTGCCAAGCCTATTCCCTGTTCGGCGAAGCGCGTGACGTTTTAACGACACAAATCCTATATACATATATTAATATATCTACGCATATATCGCATAGATGTATTAATATAGCTGTATTAAATATAACAGATTGTTGTGTTCCTCTTATAATTTTCTAGAGGTAGATAGGACTGAGAACGCACTTAATGGTTAGTATAATACGGAAAGTAAAGGTAAATGTAGATATACAGGATGCCCGGCAGGTTTTCGAGTAAACTTTTCTAAACGAAAATATTATATAAATGCTTCCTTAAGAAGTTGTAGAAGGAAATCGGTGCTGAATGTTACTTTTGGTCTGCATTGCGACTAAACAACAATTACTCTCGCGGACTGGTATTTCTATCTTCGTATTATCGTTACAACTTTTCGACGAAGCATTCTTCGGCACGCGTTTGCACAACATTTTGGCCCGACAAACGATCGTAAAAAAATGTTGCCACGAAAACCTGTCGAACGCCCCGTAGATAAATATATATGTAACAAAAAAAAAAGTATATGCTATCGTTACTCCGATGGAATATTTGTACGTATTCTATGACTATTAGAGACTAAAGCGAGTTGGTATATGTAATATAATATATATACATATATATCATATTATGTATATTTATACATACATACGCGTATACTCGATGACAAGTACGCAGGCGTGTGTGTACGGATCCTATAGTTGATGAAATGTGCCAAATAAAGATACGATTTATTGTATGTTATCGAAGTTACTTTCGTTGTAAGGTATGCATCGTGACCAAAGAGTATGAGGTCGAATTTATACAGCGTACTTTTTGGACACCCTATATAAATATATTTGTACCGAGTGGTTTCTGCGGGTGTATAACGCCACGAATCGAGCGCGCGAATTAGTGTAATTAAACGTAGAGAAACGTACAAAAATCCTCGCGACGATGCTTTATCAGAAACTTTTTCACCCAAATGTCCTTTTCTCCGATCTAGAGACTATCCGCTGCTATCGATCATCTCGTTCGAACTTAAATTTCTCTTATCGATATCATCGACAGCAGCGCCACCACTTCGATCGATGTACAAAGTAATCCGCGCGTCGATTTTGAAACAAATCACTGTTTTCTTTTTCCAACTTTGATAAGCAATTTCCATCTCGATGTCAGCTACAACGTCAAATACTATTTTTTAAAGAAATTGTTCTCTCTCCAGTTTGTCCCATTCTTGAGGATCAACAGCGACGCGCAGAGTGATCGATCATGGCGTACGGACTGTTCACGGTAAAGTTTAGGTAAATCTGCATTGTATAGCGCGTATATGCGAATAGTTGATAAGTAAACGGTTACGAAATTTCGCACAGTAACGATAGAAACGGTAATCTCGAGCTCAATTGCAGCCTCGATTCGCGGCGTTATAGATTTTTAAAAACGCTCTATATATGCGTGCACGTTCGACCGTGTCCACGCCTAGATGTTTGTGTGCGTGTTGCACGTACATGCGACTTGTCCATTGCACGGGTGAAAACTACGTGTGCAAACTTAGCGCGTACATTCGTATATAGAAAAATAGATATTATTTATGTGTAATTTAACGCATACGCTGACCGACCACAAATTGTTATCGCGTGCATGTGTGAAAGGAATAATTTATTCGCGAAGGATCACGAGCAAGATTGTTCATCTTTTTCCTGTTCGTTTCTTTCGAGAAATAGAAAAGAAGATATCCAATTTATCGTTTTAACAGCAATACTGCTTCTTTACATATTTTCAAATGCTCGGTACAGCGGTTTATTATCAGCAAGAAAGTAATGACGTAATAAAACGCGATTCGTGATCCTTTGTTCGTGAACTGCGTGCAACGCACAGTGTGTTCGGTCGGTAGAGTGCAATCAAAAATATGGTGAGGCAGGGTTCGCATTCTAATCCGAAGGTAAATCGTCCAGACTCGTTCTTAACTTACAAAACAAAAAGAAGAAGAAAAAAAATCCAAAAAAAGAAAAAAAAAAGAAAAAAAAGAAAGAAAGCAAACGAAAGCATCTCTTATCACGGCAGCCATCCGTCCACCTTTTCGGCTGTCCAACGCTCCGTCATCCGTATGATAAAAGATAATGTTCTTCGCATCTACCGAATTAATATCGTGCATTTGCAAGCGTTCCACTTACACACCTGGACGAAATTCATTTAAAATAGTTATTTGAAAAGATGATAGTCCGACGTTCGAGTGGAATTGCCGGAGATCTCGGTTCGAACAAATCGAGCTTTTCGACAGTTTTAATTTCGAACTCGAATGATCTGTACCTGGGTGGAGGCGAGAATTATGCCAGCTCCCCTTCCCCGGAACGGAACATTCACGTTCCCATTAATATCTGAACAACGTCGATCGCAAACTTCCATTATCCGAACCAATAGAGAGACACAACCGTTCAGATAATTAAACGCCATCTTTCCGACGATCATTCCATATTCTAAGATAATCTTACAACGTCTCGAAACGAACGTTCAAGGCGGCCCAGGTAACTGTTGCAGAAAACTGTGTCAGGTAGATGGAAAACACTCGACGATTTGTTCGAAACCATTGAAACACGGATCAGATCGTAGATCACCGTATTCGCGAGGCGAAGGTCTTTATATTCGAGTTTTAAACTATGTTTCTTTCTCGCTGGCGAGATTTTAGTGGCCGAGTACGAAAGCCCCCTGACGTCCACTCGTTACGGTCACGCGCCGATATTTTAGAGTTTTATTCGGAAGAGTTTATGAACCCTATTAAAGAATCTTAACTATGTATACAATTTTTGTATTCCCGTCGCGTGTTTCGGGTCTAAGAGGATTTTAACCGGTTTACTGTCCGATCGGTCGAAATATACCGTCGATCCCCGTTTACTTTACCAGACATTTTAAATTTCACCGACGAGAGAAAGCCTTTTTTTTTCAGCGACGGATCAACTTTTTAAAAACGATCGAATTCCTAAAATCAGAAGATACAACGAGAGGCTCTGGTGATTCTCAATTTTCCATACATATTCTCTTTCGCCCGAAAAGTATGAAATAACCGCGAATGTTGTTGAGAACGAGTTCTAAATGCTGTCCATTTAACGAGCTGAACTTAAGGCGAGCGAATGAGCAACGTTTTGTAAATTGTGTGACAAGTGACTTAAATAAAACACGATGTGGTACATTTTGTGTAACATTGATACGTTGTTGTAAATAATAAATAGATCGTATGTTGTACCGAAATTATTCATTTATCCCCGAAACCTTTAAAAATCGTTTGCACTAACCTGAATCTTCACGTTCCATTTACCTTTCTGAACTAAACCAGCATCACTCTCCTCTGCTTCCACTGCAATTCCAAATTCTCAAATTCTTCGCATTTATCATCTAACAGAAAATTGTATTACATTAATAATGACTATCGATTAAGATTAAAAAATACATCGAGATGACTATCTATACAGATATAATTAATACGATTCTAACCTTTTTATGATGGAAAGGAAATTATATTTCGTTCGATATCCGATTCTTGTCGACGTAGAAATTAATTCACCTGCATCTTCTGTATTCCGAATAATGAATAAACGTTCTAGATTTGTTCGTAAACTAGTTTTTATAGATTTGAACAAGAATCTAGATTTCTAGACAAGATTTCATGAATGCTAATCTACGATCGCATTTACAAATAAAACACAAGTTTACGTTAACGAAAAGTTTACTAATGAATTTTTGTATTTGTTACACGCACACGTATCAAGTATCTGGCTCCATCTATCGCCCATATCTTCCAAGAAATTAATCTCTGTCGACAATATGGGGTTTGACGTTGCCACGAAAAAGTTTAATACCTCGACCGTGAGAGGGCTGAAATTTCCTGTTTCTTTTAGTTCGTGATACATATCCGGTATGTCTGATAGTGCTAGAGTCCCGTATTTCTTACTTAAAATATGTTAAATTAGTTAAATTGCTAGATTAATAATAGACTTAAATTGATGACTATTGTCTTATGATACCATGTGAATATTTTCATTGCCGTATTTCGCATATTTTTCATTGATCTATGTGGATTACGGAAAGCTATGTTTCGCAAGGCACTGGCAGCCGTATAATAACAAAAACGTGTATTTCGTAATAAATCGACGATACGTTAACGTTGCATTTTCTTTGTAAATTGGTAAAAAATGCTGTGTTCAAAAACACCTGTTTTAATGTTAAAACGAAACTTTGTTTTGTTTTCCATTAGAATTGGAACATTATTTTGACATAACCTACGCGTTCTGCTAAATTTGAAAGTGGTTAAATAAGTTTACGACAGTGCCTTGCGTCCGAATCTTATTTCATTAAGCTTTACTTTTTCAGACATGGCAGAAACACCCACAGAACCAAAAACCAAAACGAAAACGAGTCAAAAGTCGGAGGAGAACCAGGCAGAACCTCCTCCTTTAAAAAAAAGACCGTTTAAAAGACACGGACGTCTTTACGCTAAAGCCATTTTCACTGGTTACAAACGTGGACTGCGTAATCAACATGAACACACAGCTTTGCTTAAAGTTGATGGAGCAAAAAACATACGCGACTCAGATTTTTACATAGGAAAACGGTGTGTTTATGTATATAAGGTAATCTTGTTCGCTTCTTTTTATTAATTAATCGATTTGTTTAAATTCGAGTGATATATAAATTAGGCTACTGATTGTATTTCTTGATTACTGTGTCTCTGTATAGGCGAAAAATAAGACACCCGTTCCCGGTAAAAAAGGCAGAAAAACAAAAGTTAGAGCTATTTGGGGTAAAGTGACACGACCCCATGGAACTAGTGGTTCTGTGCGTGCTAAGTTTAAAAGAAATTTACCTGCTAAAGCTATGGGCCACCGTATCAGAATTGTAAGTTGTTTGATAAACTATTTGTTAGTTATTTTTTGCGTATTTGACAATTTTCTCATTTTTTTACAGATGCTGTACCCCAGTCGGGTATAAACTTTTCTTATATAAAATAAGTAAATAAATACTGCTTTGTAACCAAATTACAAGTGTTTTTATCCCCCTCCCCCTGATCGAATACCGTAATCGATACGATCTAATGTATATTTAACAATTTTAATAAATTTTTCTCCGTTCTTCGTTATACATATTTATTTGCATTCTGAACATAACCTTAAACATCGATATAACATAACCTTAAATCTTAGAGGCTTTTAAGGCATCAGATATTGCATTTTTGATCGCGTTAACGTTTGAAATTTAGATAAATCAGTTTCATTAAATTACGATGGAAAATAAATTATAACTGAAAAAATTAGTTTTTATTATCGATTGTGTATAAAGAGGAGCCATTTTCTATCAGAATCAGACACGCATAGTGAACCAATACAATGAAACTTGAAATCCTGTATTCACGTTGAAATGCACGCACCGTCATCAAAGTTAGTGTCATATCTAGGAGTCGCATAGTGATTAAGTTTTGTGCAATAAAAAGTAAATATTCGAAAACTTGAACGCTTTTTCTCCTAGAAGTGGCACGATGCCGCGTTTGCTAGTTTAAATAAACTGTAGAGAAAATCGAACGACGATGATGTTTTGCTGTTTAAGAAATTGTTTTGACGGCCTTGGCTTTGCCGAAACTCAAACGCCGAAGAGAGAACTTAATCCTATAACTTTAGATACATGTTTCATGGGTAATTTTAACATTTACGATTGGACTAACATTTAACGGTATTTTAAATTGTTAACAATATCTATAATCATTAAATTTGCATAAAAATATTTGTTTTTCCACGTCCCTTAAAAAGTAAGAACATGTGTCGAGTTGTCACTCGTAATGTATCACGATCACGATCAAACTTTTGCTTTTATGCCTTTTAAAATATCACTAAAGAATGCGAGATTTTCGAGACATGTAACACCGTTTAAGGAAAATATTTGTCAAATTGGTGCAGGTCATGAAGTTGTGATACTAAAAGACGGTCTAAGAGTGTGTGGTTGTGGTGGTGCCTTAACAAATGCCCCTCTTGTCCAAAGTAAAAGTTATTTTGAAGTTAAAATACAACAAGGAGGTATATGGGCTATCGGATTAGCTACAAGGTCCACGGATCTGAATATCACAATTGGGGGAAACGATACAGAAAGTTGGGCTCTTAACTCTGATGGTATAATAAGGCATAATCAACAAGAACTACATACAATTCAAAGTGTAGTTCAAGAAGGAGACATTATAGTAAGTATAATGTCCTGCAAAAGTATGAATTTGCAAACTAATGACACTTTTTTTTCGTTAGGGTGTGTCTTATGACCATGTAGAACTTAATTTCTATATAAATGGGAAATCAATGGATGCTCCGGTAATGGGCATAAAAGGAGCCGTGTACCCTGTACTCTATGGTAATCTTCTACAAGTTGAAAAAATCTTTATACTAGTAATGTTTCATTGCATTATAAAATCAATTCTTTTTTTTTTTCATAGTGGATGATGGGGCCATTCTAGATTTAATTTTGGTTCACTTTGTTCATCCTCCACCTACTGGTTTTGAAAAGATAATGTTAGAGCAATCATTGCTCTAGCAAAATGGATTGATATGCAAATGGATTCATTATGTCCCTCCACTATTCAACTAATATTAAAATACAGAGTCAAAAACTATTCTAATTTAGACACAAAGTCTTAAGATAAGAAATTCTTTTAATAACAATGTATAAATATATTTAATTAGCAGACGCAAAATAAACATTTTAATTTATATCTTTTTTTTTTTTTCCAATCATAATTTCAGAATAGTATTCGCGATAATCAAGATTTATGCTATAATAATTGTTATAAACACATTTAAAATATGTAGACCTATCTGGATTAGTTCTTATTTGAACTTGGTACATCTTAAAATAATTATATATTTTCCTTTGTATAATTATTTAATAATCAAATAACATAATTTTAAATATGTGTGTACAACTTACATATAATATTTTTTTATAATATATATATATATATATGTATATATATATATATTTATGTATTTATATATGTCTGTATAAGATTGTATATAATATTGTATACACAACAATTTATTGTTCCTTAATGAATTAATGGTATGGTATATACACTGGCTTACGTAAGGTACCAATGGCTTAGGCCTATACTTTGCTTTATTAGGCTACTGTCATGGCATATTCTTTTAATTTTTTCAATTACTTAATTTCATACTACGACTGTACGTTGCACATTAAAGCTAGTCTCTCGTTCATGCTAATCAGATGAGTATGTGTATGTTTTTACAATGCTGATAATGCAAATACTTGAATAACTAATGACCTGTAATTGTTTACAAGTGGTCACAAGCACTCGTTTACACGCATAATACAATAAACACTCTAATACGTAAAATAAACGAAGAAAAAACGGCAGAGAAATGTAGCAATTATTGAAACCTTAAAAGTAAACAGAACTGTATTGTATACATCTAATTGTGTTACATTTCGGAATTTTTTAAATACTGCATGGCCTGTGCGATGTAACTTCAATTATTTTTAAATTATTCCGCGGATGTTGGCCCACGCGAGAGGCAAATATGCAAAGAAAATAGCAGTATACTGTTAAGAAACATTTGCTTCGGTGCGTTAATTTCCAAAAAGATTATTTTTATTTTATCCAGGTGGATACTTCTAATTATTGTACCTATGTATTAAATGGAAAGATATATGGTACATCTCACCATTTATTGCAGTTATAACAATCACTTCGTTTACGAACATATAAAAATTTTTTTTTTTACAATTGCTTGCAACAAGCTCTCTGCATCCTTGTAAAAATATTAAATCTTTGGTCCTTAATGTTACTTCGAAATAATCATTATCATTAATTTTATATGCTTAATACTATGTTGCTACATATACCTAACCTATATGCTGACAAATTCTTCGTAAGTTGTTGGTTTACGTATGGTAGTAGTTTCAAGTTAATTTATGCTTACGTTTTTCCATAACAATTTGAAAAACATAGAGAAACACGTTAGAAACCCTTAGGAAATATTAACTGGTCATAATTACTATTGAGTAGTCAACAAAAATGTTCAACATAGGCCATAGAAAGCTATAGTTTATGAACAATAAGTTGAAAAGAAACGATATACTGTTATATTAACAGAAATCATTTCTAATGGCAAACCTAAGAAATAGATCAATTTTTTTATACGATTCATGATGCATGGCACTCATTCCATAATATAACTAGCAAAAAAATATGATGATCGTGTATAAAAGACCAATTGCATATTAAAGAGAGCATTTGCATTCTGTTTTATAACAATTCAAGGCTAACTACCTAGATACATATATGGTATACAGGGTGTTCTAAAATTCATGATTCAAACTTTGGTTATACATATGTATAGTATTTATCGAAATTAGTAAACGAGTGTAAATAAATATAGATTTAGAATTCTAAGTTATCTCAAGTATGTTAGTTAATAGCCTTGCTAGTTAATTACCCTTATATCTTGACAGTGCTGGTTGATAAAGCTCTTGAGAGTTTATTAGTTCTTTGAGCGAATATAGCAAAGGGATATGTTTCTATGTCGCTGTGTTTTTGTTTTACATTATCAAAAAAATGGTTTATTTTTCCTTACATGATTGCTAAATCTGATGATTCTTGAATGTGCGTGAACCTCATTGTGAAAATGTATCGAAGCCATGCATTGTCACAGTTGAAATACTTAACCGCCATTTCACGTCGAAAAGTGTCGTCGACGACGATTGCACCAATAGGCACAATCGACGGTTGCAACGAAATTTCCGTTACAAATTATTTAAATTCATGCTCGTCAAAGCTTTTTTTGATAAGTAATCTATCCAAAGTTTGTACCATCACTGTTAGAATACCTTATACATATATAGGATATATTATACACTTATCTCATGACTCGATGATATGAAATATTTATAATGGTAACCCGTTGAGCCTTATTGCACATACAATTCTAATACATTAAATTACACAATCCTTTAATATAATGCAACTTTCTTCGTTCTTAGCGTAATAATCGTCGATTTATTAGTTCGGAATAACGACACGAAATTGTGTAAATCCAATGTCCCAAACATTTGCATAAAGGAATTATTAAATGTTTGATAATTTTAATAAATAAAATACATACTCAAGTAAGATCACCTCTGGTAGCAGTTACATCATTAAATAACTAGTGTCTAACATTAAACACGTTTATCCAATTCGTTTAACACGTTTAACCATTCGTTACAACATTCACACCCCACATTTCATATCACTTAAATTATACAGATCGCTTTCATTAAATCTATTGTCACCTTGTTTAAACCTCTATTGCATAATACGATTGATTGGAAACTTAATAAAAAAATTGATGTAGTTTATAGAGAAAATTTAATGAAATTTGTGCATGACATTTTGATAGGTGAATACGTAATAGAAACAGCATGTTCAGCAGCTTATTGTTTTGTTTAAGTATTCATACACGTATAAATAACAAAGTAATAATAATTTCTTTGTATAATTATTGAAATAGAGGGTTTAACATTGCAACACTGCAACTAATTTTATTATAAAATATATACTTCTAGATATATTTACAAAATTAAATCGTAATATTTATACTTCCATTGAAAATTGCTATAAATAGAGAATTTTTACACATGCATATTATCTCCTTGATGTACCAATTAGGAATACGTAACAACGACTCGACTTAGAGGTTCCCAACTTGAATGTTAGCGACCCACAAAGCCGATAAATTATTAGGTCGGTGAACATATTTATATTTATTGCATTATGTGCAATTTATGTTCATTTCGTATTATTATAGAACGGGGTTTAAGACTTAAATCTAAATTCAGAAAGAGATTGACCAACAAAGATGATAGGGAACCACTGACCTCTGACTCGTAACCTTTAATATTTATGTTTTCAAAGCAAAATGTTTTTTTCCATTAAATCTTATTAGTATAAATTTTCCTGTTTAATATTTCTCAATCGATATTCTCAAGGAAAAGATAAAATTATTTTGTTAGTGATACTTGATCAAGTATTAACAAAAGTAAAATATATTGTTAAAGTATCATTATTATTATTATAGATCAAATAAATAACAATTTATTTTTATTTCAAAATTAAGTTTTCATCCTTTTCTTTTTTACCAATTTACTATATTCGGTAAATCGTAAAAGTAAATATATGGATAAATTTAATTCTCTAAAGAAACTGTAATTATAATAATAAGTATCATGTTATCCACTAAACATTTACATTTAAGGAGAAAATATTTTTATCAATATTTTGCTTGAAATTCTACAAATTTCTCTAATATGAGAATGTTTTTAAAAAATAAAAACTTGATTTACAATAACATTTCTCAATATCAACTTTCTAACAAACATAAAAAACTCTGTTTGCAAATTACTTTTGTATACAAAATAAAACATCAACAAACTATAAGCTTAAATGTAGTATCATAAGGAAAGTTGCATTGAATGGAAGAACTTTTATAAAGAATTTATGAATATTATAAAAATCATAAAAAAACTTGTTATTTCATATATACTTTTATATATAGCTATTGAAAGAGGATTACACTGAGATCCTCCGAGCTCTCTTTGGTTTTATCCAAGTTAATTTCTATAACACTTTTGGTAAGTTACATGCAGATATCCGCATACAATAATTCTATGTAAAACATTTTCTTTCAAGGGTGATTCCCCTGAGATACTCAGATTCAAAGCAACTTCGTTTGCTTAGCTATGAATACAAAGCATCGGTATTACCTATTTATAATATACTTACTTATATCATTCAACATCTGTGGTATCCTCAATAACAGAATCCCAATTGAATTCTGTTGCACTCTGCCGTGCGGGTAGTTCACCAAGATGTTGAAATCGTTGTACAAAATATGGATCACCATCTCTAAGCCGTTTAAATCTTTGAAGTGCAAGGATCTTTGCAAATTCATATAGTTCAAGATCTAGTCTGTTAAGCCTACGCACTGCATCTAATTGTTTAGCACTGAGGGTGGCCATTGTAGCAGCACTCAGTGTTGCATTATGTTGCTCAAATGCAATAGCAAATCTCATTCCAAATGTTTCCTCAAAAGAATACTGTCCCACCTATTTGATTTTAAGTTACTGTTGTGAAATTTATGTATGTTTTATTTGATAACAAAAAATATTAACGAACTGCACAGGTTGTTCAGTAACTGGTGGTACAAGCGAAAAGGGGGGTGATTTTACATGAAAAAATAAATCTAAAATATAGAATAACAATTTTTCATGCGAGCTGATAGGTACAATAAACAATTCCGTGACCCTGGAAATGTTTATCAACATAAACTTCGATCGAGACATTGATCTACAGCAAGATCCGTTATAACAAGACATGAAAAATTTTTATTCTATATTTTAGACTTATTTTTTCATGCAGAATCACCCCCTTTTCGTTTGTATCATCCGTTACCGAACACCCTGTATATCGACTGTGATTCATTATGCACAATTTTTAGCAGAATAATGAAAAAACATATGAATATTCTATAAACATGAGTCAAGGATAGCAACATATGGATCTATAAGTTATAGGTAACAAAAAGGATCAAAGCAGGCACAAAAACATATCTCACAAAACATAACATAGTAAGGAATATTAATGTACAATCAAGGACAAAATTATTTGCACATTAAACATATGGAAAGAGAAAGCACTACATATTCTATATTAATAATTATATTTAAATATATACAGTTGTTTAATATATATGAATTTTAGTATTAATAAATTTATTTTGCATTAAAAGAATTAAAACGTTTACATGGTTTAGTTGGAAAGTATTAATTTTCTTAAGTCTCTTAAAATGGAAAAGAAGCTTAAGATAGTCATAAAACTAAAAGGTGCAATGTTTCTGGAATACACATCCTCTGTATATGGTGGGTAAAACAAATATTTACATTGAGAGCTACTTTTCAACAGATGGTTCTCTAATATAAACTAAACTACTTTGTTAACACAGTCAGTTCGGACATGTTAGAAGATAAATTAATTTCTTTAAAATTTTTAGAGACTTGTGAATAATAATTTAAAAATAATAATAAATATGTAAAATCTATAACAATATTTAATGCATTAAATTACACAAATATTAAGGAATTTAAGCATACGTTTAAAAGTATAATGCACTGAAAATTAATTAATGAAATTAGCAACATTTTTTAAAAACCAAAGAAAGCTAGAAACTAGTATGATAATGAATGATAATGCGAAACCATGCTAACATGCAATCTCAATACTTGAACAAAAAAAATTAGTTCTTACTTTTTGGTATTCAGTCAACATGAAGAAAGGCATAAATTGTAAATTGTGTTTAGCACTAGCCAACATGAGACGATCTCTTTCCAAGCTGCTGAGTGTAGAATTGTAACAACCAACAACTGATAGATCAGCCAACATTCTGGTTTGGCGATTGCTTGCCAAATTATATGGGCAGGCCATAAACTACATAAACCATAATATTGTTTATCAAAATGATTTGAATTTATACTTGTTTATAAAATTTATTATATGCTATAAATATAACTTTTTGTAAGTTTTAAATTTCTGTATCAACAAAGCAACTGCTGTTCTCATGGTAAGAATTGCATCTATATACAGTAGTGCCCACATAAGTGACCATATTTTTGCTCACTTAAATGACCGCGGTTATTCCCACCAATTCTTAGAAGCCAGCGGCTTCGCGAGCGTGTCGAGTGTAACTTGACGCTGGGTCGTTATCGATATTTTTTGTATATGTATATGGTTTCGGATGCCAGCTATTGTATTTCACTCGCACTTATCCTCTTTCCTTATCTCCGTTGAATTCTGAGAAGTAACCATGCCCACATATATGACCGCGGCCGGTCCCGAGCGTGGCCACTTATGTGATCACTACTGTAGTAGGAGAAAAGGAAGTCTCAAGATAAAGGAAAATGCTTATCTTAATGTGTTTCTAAATGTGAAAGCCTTTCAGATAATATACTTAATGCTGTACTTGTAAAAGAAGTCACTTTTATGAACTGATGAGAATACTAGGACATAAAAATCTTTCCAAATTACTAAACAGTATTGAGATTTCTAATAAAATATTACCTGTTCTAAAGAGACTCCTTGCCAATTCGATCCAGGGTAGCATTGTGGTATATTAGCTTGGGTTCCTCCACACCAATGACGGGCACCTCTCCACGTTGCACCCCTTTGCACGTGTCTAAATTCGGATAGATATCGCGCAACAGGGTTCCTTATTATAGTTATATAAAAGTATCTACGCTTTATTCCCTCCCCTTCAATTTTATTTAATTCAGCATCAACACAACTAGTCAATTCTGTCCAGTCAGCATGCAACCCACATTTCCAACCAGTAGAATATCGCGAGAAAAGCCAGTTTTCATTGCGATTTGGACGGAAACAAAAACAACGCTTACGTCTCCTTTGACAAGAACATGGTCTCTGCAGATCCAGATCTCTAACTAAATGTTTGCCAAATAAAGTTCCTCCTGTAACATAAACAACATTTTTCTTCTATTAGTATAGCAGAAAAATAAACAGGTATAATTTTCGAAACATGTAAGAAACAACTTCTATGATATTTCTTTGAAAATATTAATTTGTATCAAGTTTTTACAAGTATCGGGTTAAGGTCGATTAAAATCATGGTAGTGACAATGAATAAATTAAACAAGTTTTTGTAACTTGTATCTATTAATATGCGTCTTAACAAAAAAAACATTATGGAAAGCATGTGCGTAGAAAAAGTAAGAAGGAAACAGGGATATGCATGCACAGCATATTAAATAAGACAATATCCCTGAATTGTTCTTTCTTCTTCCAAGATAAGGTCTAGAGGTTTCACCGTGCCTGATGAATAATGCAAAGATTCAGTTGTACAATGGTCAGAAGGGATGTTGCATTGTTTTTTTAAGCCATAGGATTGGTTGGAAGTCATCCAAAGGAATCAAAGTACAAAGTCAAACAAAAATATATATTTATACAGATACTTTGTGATCTGCAAACAATCTGGTTTGTTTTTATTTAATTTTTAAGAGAAATTTATAAACTAAATATAAAAAAAATATAGAAAATGTTACATGTATAAAAAGCTATACCATAATAAGAAACTGGATTATTACAGATTACTGTAAATTAAAACACTGGGGAAGGATCATCTGTGGCACAGTTTTGTTTTAACAAAATACTTAATTACACATTACGTACCATTATTCATTTTTCGACAAGTAAAAAACGAAGCTCTTAACAATAAATATGGGAATTAATGAAAAATTACACACTGAACGATAATAACGTTATTATTTACCAGTCTTTTGAATATGTAGGAAAACAATGACATCATGTCCATTTATATCGAACTGGAAGGTTTCATTAGTAAACACATCGTCGTAACCAAGACTTCCTTGAATGCTTTGCAATCTAAAAGCAGGATGTACGGAGAGCAGGCCATTTTTGTCGAATTCGACGGAGACGGAAGACAAGCCGGAGCCAGCGGACAGACCCTCGGATAGTCTTACGGACTCCTTAATCTCACGATTCGTCAGGGCGCATACATGATCAGGGCAGAAGTATCCGAGGTAAATGATACTTGTGAGCGCGAGAAACAAGCATATCCCTACAATGCTACGCAACCGAGTCCTCCGTGCTCGTGACTCCATCGTCGCGGACCTCTCTCATAAATCGTCCTGTACAAGGACCGAGAGTTTGCTAACGCCTTCTCCGCTTAACCGTCTGCCCATTATTATTGTGCCTCATGTTTTTTTTTTCACCACTGGTCACACCGCGCACCGTTCGCGAACACGGTCCGAACAAAACTACGCTTTTTACGCGAGTCGGCCATGACAGTTACTCCGTATCCCCACTACGCCACTCGACGTAGCCATATTGTTTGCTATTCGTCTGTAACAGTTTCTCAAAGTGGCAAGGAGGGGAGAACGGTGGAGTTTATTTAAAAATCTGTAGTTACAGAGTATGCATACATAATGTGAAGTGCTTACATATGTGCCTGCAAGCAGAAGCTGCATCGAACCGTCTATTTCGAGTACCAGTTTTCTCGTTTTATGAACAAGAGTTTCGGGAATGCTTCACAATTCGGACCAGCAGTTTTTGAACAGAGTCGAACTTAAATTATTGCGGTCCATTGTGCAGCTTCGAAAGGTATACAATTATTTTTCAGTAAAAAATACTTTTCAGTAACAAAACACGTAAAAATTATGGAATGATATAAGTTCGTAATAACGTGCTCATAGGCGTTAAGATTTTACATGTAAAATTATAAATGCGCGATTCTGCCGCTGCTTTAAACGATATACATAATCTGTTGCCCATTTACTCGACCATCATACCCTTTTTTTCATTGACTGGTATGTAGACAAATATTTTTACATAACTTTATTACAATAGATACATGTTGTAAAGAATTGTTTTAATTATTGTATGACGCGAATAATTAATTATCGCGAATAATAGAAACGAAGATATCGAGAAATTTAAGAAAGGTGAAGGTTTCATTGAATTTTTATACCAAATTGAGATTGTTATTAACATTTTTTTATAACAATCTCGCGCCAAAAGGCGCTAACTCGTTGGGGATTTGCCCTAGCGAATTATCGAAGTGAGGGTGGTAACATTGACGACGCAAATGGCGTCACGGCTAGTTTTGCACAAGTCGTCCTCAAAGACAGTAAAATATATTAGTTGCACCGCACAATAACGGCGCATTATTTCCCCCGTACCGTTTAATCCTTCAGTGTAAATGCTTTTGTCAAATATTTTGTTCTGAGGTGTGATTTGTTTGTGGCATAAAACAAAACGGTTCTAGAATTTTCGAATTCGTTCAGGTAAGTAATGTTACCTAAAATTGAACACATATTGTGAATTTGCTGCGTGTATTAAAGTATTTTGTAATAATCATTCAAGATCTAAGATCAGTAATTTTCTTTTAATCTTTATTTCGGTTCATTTACTCGTACCATATATCTAGTTTATTTTCTCCTTGTATTTATAACCAAACACGTAACATTTTCATTTTTTAATTGCAACTGTCATTTTAAGGATATAGTGCAGAAATGAATACTATAATACAAATTTAAAGTGTATATCATGAGTTTACATTTACATAGTTAATTTCAAATTTAGTTATAGAAAATGTATGCACAAACATATTATCATATTTTCTCTTTTAATATTTAGAATGGGAGCTCTTGATCTGTTAGAGGACAGAATCACTGACCTGGAAAAACGTGTATACGGACTCAAGAAAACAAATGTAATTGATAATACATTTCCAGAAATTTCTGTGATCGATAGCCTTCTACATGCAAACACATTGATTTCATCTGCCTTATCAGGACGTGAAAATGCAAACACCATGATAGAAAGGTTTTCAGAATTAAATGTTGATATAGTTTCATTAGTTGACCTATTAAAATTAAGTACAGAAGGAGTATGTCAGTTCTTGCTTACGGTAATGTCTGACCTCAAAAAAAGTTGTGATATGTTAAGTTGCCTACAAGAGTTAAGTTCCCTGTTAGAAACTGACGAATTACGGGACGTACCAATAGTATCGAATAAACTCAACGACATAAGTTCAGCATATTTGAAATTTTATATGGTAATTCAAGACCAAACCAGTCAAATAAATACCTTTTTTTTTAACATTAATGAAATAATAAGTAGCATTTCTAAATTATTAATTATCTTGAATGGTCAACTATTGCGTGCTGAAATTGCAGCTACACCAAAAAAGCAAATAGATTAGAAATTTATCGTGCTTAAAGCGTGTAAAACGTTATTTTACGGTTTATATAGTAAATTATTTAAATATGTTAAACTTAAAATAAATCTAGAATTCTTTTAAAATACGTTTATTTTTTATCTTAGGTTATAAAAATACTTACGCATTCATCGGTGACTATGCGTACATGAACATATTTTATTAATGTATCTTTCCGTAACAGTGCATTTTATTAAAATACTTATATATTATATACATTTATCCTATCTAATTTCTTAACCTAATCTTCCGTTCGTTTCAGGAATTGTTTCTTAAGATCTCCGAGACAAACCATTGAATGAATAATTGGGTGTATTTCTATATTGGTCTCTTATTTTGAATAAATACTTTTATTTCGGTGTTGATTTTGTACACAGTAACTGAATTCAAATAATGTTTACAAATATTTAACATGTAATATTGCCGCGAACAAACAAATTGCAATATCTATATCGGAGAAAATTTATTGGACTCAGTTACTACATAAAATCAACAGTTTATAATCGGTGATTGATAAGTTGCCAGGTATTTAACAAAATAAAAATGTGTCGGATATTAGTGTTTTTCTTATAGTCGTACTTACAGCATAGTTAAGAGACCCAATTTGCTAAACCTGTAAAAAATCTCTTAAAATGTTAATCATATTAAACAGTTGCTTTATACAGTATTTACAAATTTCTTACTTGTAAATAAGTATTATATCGCCAATTATATGTACCTATATCGCGCTCCACTTTTGCATATGTATAGTAAGCGTCGAGCTTACTAAAAAATATTGCAATGTCTACCCATTACTCAGTAACATAGAAGAAGAAAAAAATCATTTACATTTCTTCTTGAATACAGAACATCGAATTATGGCCATTTGACGCTATCCGTAAAATGCATTCTTTGCATTTAAATAGGAACATGTTATTTTAAATACGGACAGATATATAATGAGGAAATAACAAATTAAGTACATCTATTTTTCCGATTCGGTTAGCGAATTTTGAAAGGAACTTAGAAATTCAACCTGTTGGTTCCCTCCCATGGAATAATTCTAACATTAATTTCAATATGTCGTAGTCAATGTGGGTAAGGTTCGTCCCAATACTTGTATATTTTCATTAAAAGGGTAAGACCATGTTGGAGCATTTTAGCTTTGCGTTTGCAGAGCGGGAACCGACTGTCGTAACCAAGACAGTGCTGGTTCCACGCTAGAGTAAATTGCTGGATGACCCCTCGAGCATCTACTGTGATGACTAAGTAGACCTTGAATTTCCCATCTGGCCGATCCTCCTCCAGATTCACTACCGCACATTAGAGGCGCTCCTTCGTCATTCTGAAAAGAATAACGATACATCGTTATTCGTTGAGATCTTCTAGCGAAATAAAGGTCTCTTTAAAGTTGCACAGAGGTTGTTAAAGTCCGAAATCTTACGTAGCAAGGTCCTTTGTCCGTATCGGTGAAGCCAGCGCATATATTGTCTTTAGTGATAAATCCAGCGTAATGACTCGTACAGTTTTCAGAATCGTACGTTGGCACTGGCAAGAACTTTAGATATTTCTGTAAGTCCACCTCTCCATTTACTGGGAATCCCCATCCTGCCGTTACGCATATTTGTCTCGGCTGAAATTTACCCCGAAATATATGCTAAACGATATACATACTCGAAGAAAAGAGTTCCGGACGGAATGGCAATAGTTACCTGAATCGGGTGTTTCGGTAAACAAACGGCGCTAACGTTTCTCGAGAAGGTCAAAGGTTTCTCGAGTTCGACCAACGCGATATCGTCGTTGTACAGGAATTGGTTGTATTTTACTTGAGGATATGGGATGATATTCCGAACGGGATGAGCCTTCAATAGATTTTCACCGGTGAACAGTTGCCATCCGTTGCTTTGTTTGAATCTAGAATCGCGAGACATGATTCCGTTTAAAGAATACCGTGATATTCGCTTTTCGATTATCAATTACCTGTGAATACAGGAATAACTTGCGAGCACGTGCATGGGTCCAAGGACACTCGCTGTGCAAGCAGCACCGTGTTTCGGTTCCTTCAGCAAAGCCACGCTGGACCATTGTCCTTCGCTGGCCGGAGTTCCACCGACCAATCTTGCGGTCGGTCCTTCTCCGTAGTGCGAACCGCAAGAGAATTCTTGACAAGAGACTTGAACGACCTTCTCCGTCTCGCAGAATTCCACCGGTTCTAGATTCGCGACTAACGGCATACGGGGGCTCGAGTTTACCTTCAATTTCAAAACTTTCTGATTTTTGTCCCACGCCAGCAGCAACTCTGTCGCCTCGGAACCAGAGTATCCGAGAGATTGGCAGTAAGAGTCACTGAATTCCTCTCCCCACGTATCGGAACAAACCAGACGATAATCACCGTCCATTTGCCTACAACGCGACAAAAATATACATTGTTGGTTATCGAAGGAAACGTAAGGATAGTATAGGGAAGCCAGTCGTTCTAGATACCTAATTTTTAACAAAGAAGTCCTTTCGGTTAACTCTTGTACTCCGTTATTTTCAACGTCGCTTTCCTTCTGCACCATTAAGCAACCCCATTCGTCGGAATGATCCGGACAGTGCTCGATTCCGTCGCAAATTTGATTCTTCGGAACGCACCCGCCTGTTTGGCATTTGAATTGATCCAGGGCGCAGTCGCAGAGTTTCTCGTCTTCCCCGTTCGCGCACTCGTTAATACCGTTGCAATGCCACGTCAGTGGTATGCACCATTTCTCTGTCGGGCAAAGATACTCGTCGTTTCCGCAACTTTCGGCACAGTTGTACTCGTCCCGATGGTCTTCGCAATCGGGCCGTCCATTGCATTGCCAGATGCCCGGAATACATCTTCCTGGAACAATAAATCGACATTCTTAACGACGGACGTTGCAAGCGTTAGGAAATCTATATTAATATTCATCGCGAACATTTTTCCTTTCACTTTTTCCTCTTGTCGATCTCGTTTGCATCTAACGATCCGTCGTATAATGAATTCGTTCTACTCGTACTTACCACTGGGGCATCTGAATTCATCAAACTGGCATCTCCATTCGCTGCAGTTTTTCTCGTCGCTTCCGTCGTCGCAGTCCACGATCTTATTGCAGACCAGGTCTCTCTTCAGACATTGACCACTGGCGCACTGGAAGTTTCCAGGGCAGCCATCCTTCTCGCAATTCAGTTCGTCCGACGCGTCGGAACAATCGTTTTCGGAATCGCATTTCGCGGACAGCTGTACGCAATAGGCGCCGTCTCTGGACGTTCCGTTCGCACATTGGAATTGACCAGCGGTGCATTTCGAAAAGACAACGTTCGGAGGTAGATTCAGGAAAGAAACGTCGATGTGGCTGGTGGTGTCGGCCGGCGTATCCGGTAATTTCGTTTGCGTGATCGGCGGTACGGTCGTGGCTGCACTTTGCTCTTTCGCAACCAGATTTACGTTTGCTTCCTGCGCGAATGAGGTAACGGATGATTGGCTCGCAGGCAACACCAATGGCTGCGAACCTGTTTCATTCGCTCCTGCGTTATCCAGCTCGGTAATTTTCCTCGGGTCAATCGCAGCGCGTCCTTCGCTCGCTGACTCGCCAGCAACCGATGGACTCATCGTCGCGAATTCGTTCGCCACGTTCGGTCGACGATGGTAATAATTTCGAACGACCACGAAGGGCTCGGTGACGGGCTCTGGTTCGATCACCTCTTCCGAAACGGGAATGAAACTCGGGTACTTTTTCGCGCCGTTTGATCTCACCGTGTCCTTTGTCTCCGTTTCATTGGATACGTTAGTAGTTTCGATGATCTTCAGTTCCGGTACGGAATGATTAGCTCTCGCGTCGGATAAAGTCGTAGAGTCTACGATACCAGTCGCGTTACGATCTTCGTGATTCTTTTCGGTGCTGACCACCGGTACTTCCGTCGAGAGCGAAGAAACTAGCTCTGGAACTTCCGTTGACCCGCTCGCCTCCTCCCTGTCTTCCAGACTCAGTTCCTTCTCTTTCTTGTACTTGTATTTGTCGACTATCTTCTTGTCCACGGATTTTTTCTTCACTTCCAAACTCTTTTCCAGCGGAATAACTTTCAGATCTTCCTCGGACAATTCCCCCACGTCCAGATCCGGCAGCACGGTCTTCGGAGTCGTGGTGATGAACAGTGTCCTGTAATCGAACTCCATGGGCGTGTCGTCTTCGAGTATTTCGGTGACTGGTTTCACGTCTTCCATCGCGCTGGAGCTCTCGGACATTTTCGAGACGCTGCTCACGGTCGTAACGATAATTTCGCTGCTGGACAAGGTAGTTTCCGGTTTCGGATTCTGCGTCACAGTTTCGTTTTCCGTCGCGTTGGTTTCGTTCGCCATTGGAACGTCGATCTGCGGCCAGGTAACGTTCGTTTCCGTGTTACCTGGGTGCTCTATCCCGCTGGTCATCGAACCGTCTGTTTTGTTATCGTGCATATTTACACGCTCCGTCACACTGGTCTCCACACTCTCGGTTTTATTGTCATACTTGGGAGATTCTTTATTTTCGGATTGCATATCCGGTTTCATGGACGAGGTGGTCACCAGCGAGTCGCTCTCCGTAGTTTGCAATTCTTCCGGTAGTATCGGCACCTGGGCGGTGGTTTTGGTCTCCATCGATGCTACGTGGGTGGTTGGAACTTGAACCGTCGTGACAGCCTCCTTTTCCGCGTCCGTGCGAACCGCAGGATGTTCCGTGTCGTTCTCTTTTCGAATACTCTCTTCGGTCACTGTGGTGCTTTCGATCTTCTCCGTCGTGGACATCTCTTGCTGTATCTCCAACGGCAATACCGGTATCTGCGTGGTCAGTTTAGCATCTTCCGTATGCTTGTCCGAAACGCTTCCGGTCGTGGTCGCCGTGACTTCGGCATCGTTCAGACCACCTTTCTGATCTTTATTTCGCGATTTCTCAGATTCTTTATCTTTGCCATGAATTTCCACGTCGTCGTGTCGATATCCTTTCGACAACGTGTCGTCGGATATGTCATTGTACTGATCCTCCACTGCGTTCTCTTCCGGTTTCTCCGAAGTACTCGTCGCGTTGCTTACAGTCGAGTCTTCCGACTGTTTATCCTTTACGTCCTCCATAGGAATCATAGTCGCAGATTCCGTCGACATTTCGGACTTGTGCTTGTACGCGTCATTTTTAATGGTTTCCGTATCCTTGAATTGTGCTTCCAATGGTACCACTTTCAACGCTTCTTCGTCTTCTTCGGACGAGTTTCGATCGTCGTAAGCGTGCAATCCGTTCTCGGTTCCAGACTCGGTCTCGTTAAGATCGACAACGTCCAGGATTTCTTTTCCCAGATCGGTTTCGTTCTTAACGCCCGTACGATCGACGTTTTGGATCTCGGTATGCACGCTGTTCGTCGTGTACTTGAATTCAGTTTCGTTCGCGTTTCGTTCCGTGGAAGATGGACCGTTGTTCTCCAGCAGAGGTTTGTACGTGATCACGTCTTCCACGTGACCGTCGAAAGGATTGGGCACGTCTTGCTCGTCTTTGTCCAATCTCGGTGCTTTTTTCATTTCCTTCTCCTTCTGAACGTCCGGCAGGAAAGGTGACATGTCGTCAGCCTGTTTGTCGTAAATTATGTCGGATTTTTCTGTGACGTGTTCGACCGCGTTCTCCGGAAATACAGCTGGATGCAACGGGTGGTTCGTGGAATGATCCACACTGTCGTCGTAACGAACCGTCGAATCGCGTAGATTCGCGTCGATGCTTTCCGTGGAGGATCGAGGCTTGCTTTCTGTGCTGGTAGTTTTAGGTTCAGACGAGTGCATGCTTTGCTCGGGAATAAGTTCAGGAATGGTCGCGTGAGGCTCTAGCAATTTCGTCGTGTGTTCCGATTGCGGTATAACCATAATGTGCTCCTCTTCCGTATCGTTTTTAAGAGGCTCGATGTTATGCCCGAAATTCTTTGGTAACTTAGGGAAGATGGTCGTTGGCATGTGTTCGATCACGTTGGTTTCGTTCGCATCGTGCGAACTCGGTTCGGATTGGACCACGGAAGATTCGGTTTCGGACGATTCCGAAGCGTCGTTTAACTTGGGCTCCTCAGACGTGTCATTATACATTTCCGTACTGCTGTTCAGTAAAATAGAACTCGATTCCGTCGTGTTTTCCGACACCATATCTACGAGAAGAGGAGTCGACGTCTCGGAATCGTCATCCATAATCAAATTTGTAGTAGACTCTACATCGGAAATCGCGGATTTAGTGCTGGACGATGTTACGGATTCCGATTTTAAAGGATCCGTGCGCCCAGATTCATCGTTATTTGCATTTATCGCGGTATATTCGGTTACTTCGTCCAACGACGTATTACTTTCGGTAGTCTGTTCAATCTTCGGTGTTATCTGCTTATCGAGGTCCATAGGATTCACCGTTACCATTTTCTCTTCGGTGTCGATCACTGGTGTGGTATTTACTTCGAAATGATCGTCGGAAAACGATCGATTCGAGATCCCAGGTTCGTCGATGGGCATCAAAGGTATCACTGGCAAAGATTCATCGTCGCTTATCATATCGGTAACCTTGTCGTTGTTTATCAACGTGGTTTCTTTCAACGATCCAGGAAGCGTGCTGGATTCCGATTGCATGTTCGTAGTGTCGTTAGAATTAAACGTAATCGCGTTTTCGTCCTCGAGCATCGTGTTCGTGGTCGGGGATTCCATCGGAGATTCGGTGGATGGTATTTCTGTAATCGAGCCTGCGAACACGTTGCCCATAGCCGTGGGTTCGGTGGAAGTATCCGGAGTGCTGGAAGACATTTGTTCGGTAAAAGATTTCGAGTCTGTAGGGTGTTGTATCTCCGTAGAATCCTCAAAACCTTCTTCTCGAGACGTCGCGTCCGTAGAGGATTCAGCTTCCATGGCTGGCAAGGTGGACGATTCCGTTTCGCTTAGAAATTTGTGTTCTGTGGCCGACTGTGTTCCAAGAGAGAGTTCTGGCACGGTCGGTGACTTGGGTTCTGGCTCAGCAGTGGATTCAGACTCGCCGGAAACTTCCGATTCGGTGGGGTTTGTTTCCACGGATTGTGGATTAGTGGCTGAAAGGTCAGAGGAAGGCTTTACCGTGACTTCTGGCTCACTGGATGGTTCTGGTTCTGCCTTCGGTTCTGCCTTCGGTTCTATCGAAGCTTCTGTCGTAAAGAATTTTGGATTTGTCGAGTTTTCTAACTCTACGGATGGTTTTGGTTCTACAGAGTGTACTGTCGAATCTTCTACTTCCGTTGGAGGTTCTGGTTCAGAAGCTGGCTCTGGTTCAGAAGCAGGCTCTGGTTCAGAAGCTGGCTCTGGTTCAGAAGAAGGCTCTGGTTTAGAAGAAGGCTCTGGTTCAGCAGCAGGCTCTGGTTCAGCAGCTGGCTCTGGTTCAGAAGAAGGCTCTGGTTCAGAAGCAGGCTCTGGCTCAGAAGCAGGCTCTGGCTCAGAAGCAGGCTCTGGCTCAGAAGCAGGCTCTGGTTCAGCAGCTGGCTCTGGTTTAGAAGAAGGCTCTGGTTCAGAAGAAGGCTCTGGTTCAGCAGCAGGCTCTGGTTCAGCAGCTGGCTCTGGTTCAGAAGAAGGCTCTGGTTCAGCAGCAGGCTCTGGTTCAGCAGCAGGCTCTGGTTCAGAAGAAGGCTCTGGTTCAGCAGAAAGCTTTGGTTCATCATCAGGCTGTGGTTCTGCCGAAGATTCCGGTTCCGGTCTAGCTGTCGGTTCGACCGTGAAATGACTCAAGTGATCGTGCATCCAATGGGTAGAATCGGATTCGTTTTTCAACGCACGATCCTGCTCGTTATTTTGCGACGGAACGTGTTTGATATGCGTCGATTCCGTACTGAAGTCCGAGTGATCCCAATTGTCAGGACGTCTGGGTTCGAACTGGGTACCTGGTCCTCTACTTCTGCCCTGAACGTAATCGTGCACTGCTTCGGTGATCGATTCCGGCTCTTTCTCGTCCATGTCGACGTTGCTTAAATCGTTTTTGTCGATGCAACGTTTTCCACTGCTGTCTAACGTTTCCCCGGCATCGCAAGAGCAGACGAACACGCCGTTGGTGTAATCGTAATTGCAATATTCGGCACACCCGTGATTGTCAATCTGGCATTTGTCGAGGAGCTTTGTTACTTGCAGTTTATTCAAGTGATATTGCCCGATCATGTTGCCGTTTTTCCGCAAGGATTCTTCGATGATACGTTGGGTTTCTTCCGGTACGGTGCGCGGAGGATAACTTATTCTAAACATCACTTCTCCCCGTTTGTTTATATCGTACACTTTTACGGTTGTTTCGTTTTCCGTAGAGTGCAACGTGTCCCTTAGATACTCTTCTATCTCTGAGGTAATCTGTCTATATACTCTTGACTTAGGATCACTCAAATCATTGTTCCAACGGAATTCGTCCAACCGCAATAATCCATCTAACGCGCTCGAGACGGTGATGTAACTGGTTTCGTCCGTCGTTGGCCATGGCAAGGAGCTTGAGGTTTCAGGCGATGGACTCGACGGCGGATCTTTCACGTATTCTTGACTTCCTGCGGTTCGAACGTCGCCAAACTGTCGCGAATTAGTCTGTTGAAGGTTCTCCAAGGGTTCCGTGGCTTCTTGCGTCAAGATCACGCCAGCTACGACAGAATCAAACATTCGCCTTACACCTTAGCTCTCGTTTTTCTTTATTATAGGTCTGAAAACACCGTCATCTCTATCATACAGGTTTTTCATCCCAAATTCCACAGAATGATTTGCAAAAGGGTTGGGTTTGGAATGCAAAACCTGTAACAACAGAGAACAGTTTCCGAATATCGTTTCAACGTTAATGAATTCAAATCGCAGAGTTCTTACTCGCAGCCAAGATGGCAATGATGACAGCGATCAATAGAACCAATAAACCGCATCCCCAACAAGCCATCCTTCTCCAGTAGGAACTCCTGGATCGTTTGTCCTTCGTTACATAGAGTTTCTCGCCCCTGTAACACAACATCGTGAACGATCAAGAACAATCGTTCTTCGTTTGCATCGTTCACCCTCATCCTAGAACCCAGAATAAGCGTATTTTGTACAGCACTGTGCTTGTAAATATCCGAGACGTTCTTCAGCGATCAGCCATATGGGATTAGAAGCTTCCCTAGACGAACAGACACCATTCTAAGAACATATATCGTGAACATCTAATCGTTTCATCTAATGAACGGTCGTTCAACGCCTAATCGTTTCTTTTACCCTAGTTTCCTCGAAACGTTTAGTCAGTCTCTCGCGCAGTGTTCATGTGTGGAATATATGTCTGGATCTTATTATTCGGTCTTCGGGGGCGGGGGAGGGAGGAAAAAAAAAAGAAAAATAACATTTCCTTTCGCCGGGGTATTGCACGTAATTTACGTGTACGGTATCCTCTCAGGGTGCAATTATAACTAAGAATTTGTGTGTTTGCATTCTATTGTCAGGCATATCAGGCCCAGCCGCGCGGTTTACCACTAAATAAAAGTAGAAGAGCAGAGCAAGCGGGTTAGTTCGCGATCGTGCGCATCCACCGTTCATCGATCAGCAACCTCTCTCCCTTGCTCCTCATCCTCGAAAGCATCCTTCAAGTACCTGAGGGCTGTCAGCCAGTGGGAATAGTCGACCAGTCCGGCGGCGGGGTCTCTCAGGCTGAGTCCCTCGCGGCCGACGCCGGGGCCCAAATCAAAACGCACTCCAGCCACGGTTGTTTCAACCTCGGCCTCGGGACCCCTGCTAGGTACCGTGACAACAGAAAACACCGTCTAACTTTCTACTCAGGTGGGCAAAGTGTGATTTTCGGTCAGCACACGGCGACGCAAACGACGTGATCTTTCTATTACAATTCTTTCGACCGTCGCCTCGTTTCGCTATTACAGACTAAGCTAAACTATTCGAGTTACGCAGACAAAATTAATTATTCCGTTGTCCTTGCTTCGTTTTACTTTCTCGTCGTTTCTTCCTGCGTATCGTGAAACTATTTTCGTATCGAGCCCAGGATTCGTCGGGTTGCGGAACACACATTGTACGGTCGTACGCGAACATTTATTTCTACCTCGAATACGCAGCTCGTCGAAAGACAACCATTTTTGCAATAGACGGTCACTCGTGCATTTTGCTATGAAATATTGTGACACGCTCGTTTCGCAAACTCTTCCATCGGTGAACGTATTCCGTAATATCTGAGGACCTTCGTCCGTTCCACTACTGTCCGCCATTTTTTCTTTACACCAATACATTAGCATGTCTCCGGCGAGCGAACGCAATCGGATCATTTTCCAATTTAGAAACAGACGAACCATCTAATACCACGTCTATCGTAGGTTTAAATTATCCATTTTAAATCGTGACTATTCCCATACAAACTGTTCTATAGAAATTCCTATACAAATAATCGGTCGTGTCGCTAATCTGTCTAACTGATATAATCTTGGATTTTCTCAGCTTCGAGTTCTTCGATTCCCCTCGACAATTACTACAGTGTCTTCGCTATTGACAGTACTTTTTTCCAAAACCCAAGTGATCGTAAAAACCCGCCGGGCTGGTGAACAGTAGAGACGGTTAATGTAATTGTTAAACAGTAGCCAAGAAGAACAGACACACACACGTGTAGGCAGAGTAATAAGTGGTTTTAAAGCTCGACGATTTTAGACTCGTTTACCTGATGTACTTCCGGTGCTCGTTTACCGGCACGAAGTACTCTTCGTACGAATCCGCTGGGACCTCGCAGGCCTCCTGGCCCTTTTGCAGATTGTTGCCCGCGTAAGGCCTCATCGACACCAATTCCAGATTCACAGCCTCGATTTGCTCCTTCTTTCCGGTGTCTGCGAAAAACGGGAAATACTTTAATAGCGTCGCAGTAGGCGTGTGTAACCGGTTTTCGTTTTTCGGTAGTGCGCGAAAGAAAACCTCGTTCCTTGAATAAATTAATTGGTCACCCCGTGTTCTTGGGGATATCGAAGAAATATTGGACCTGACCATCGACTAAATACTCGACGGAAAACCGGTAGGTTGAGGACATTTTAACCCAGACCTCGGTTGTAAATGTTTCGTTTAGACCAATGGTTAAAGAATTTAACAAAGACAACGTCGATTCTCACCGTTCATCTGGATGCTTGTCGCGCTATTGTTGAGGAAGCTCGCGTCGTTGTTGTTTCCATTTCCATGGACGCCGTTCAGTTTAGGTTCGACGACTGTCTTGTCGTTGCTCTCGGGTAGATCGATTTTTGTTTCGGTTTTGTAATGCGGATCCGGACTGGTTCTTCCGGGTTCCACGTAGTGCTGCGACACGAACGACCGTTGGTGGCCATTTTCCATCGGTGTGCCCTCCGACACCGGCTTGCGATCCTGGCCCAAGGTCACTTGTTGCTGGCCATCGTCCACCTTCGCTTCGGTAGCGCAGTCTTCCTCGCTCGTGAACGCCGGATTGTCCATACCATCGGCCGTCGACATCTCACGATTGCTTGGCCCCCTCACCTGATAACGTGGACCCGCTATCGACTCTCATGCGTCTCGATTCTACGACAGAAACAGAAAGGGTTTCACCTTTCACGAAACGAAAGTATTCTTTAAACGATTACCCACCCGACCATCGACTATAATTACCGAATTAAATTGTGGCAATTACCGATTCTCGTTTCATCGGTAAATTGTACATATCGCGTACACGAAAGAGCAACGAGCCGCAAACACAGTAATAAAAGAATTTTCACATTCCCTGTTTCGAAGGTCGAAACCGACGATATTTTTATACGAGAAACGTTTGACAGTTTCACTTTTTCCTTCGAGGGGAAAATTGCTAGATTATAAGACGATGCAGTTTTCTATTCTTCCGATCACTGTGTTCCGCGATATCGGAAACACCTACCCAAGTTTCTGTTTCGTTGCCGATTGGCTAAGTTTTCAGTGACCGATTTCGCGCGGTGTGTAATTTATCGTTGGTGAAACTGGACGTAAGTTGATCTGATTTTTCTACAAGCGAGCCGGCTGTGCTGTGATCCGGAAATCCCCGGCGCATAATCAATAAACAAGAACGAAAAACAAACGAGTTTTCTATTTTATCGCGCAAGGACGTACTTTCCATCCGCGACCGAGTCAAACTTCTGTATAAGGTTTCCATTTTTCATTTACGTGGCACTGTTTATTCGAAAATTTCATGATCTTGGAATTTCAAAATATCTTTGAACAAGCCAAGAATCTTTACATTCTTTTTGTAACAGTATGCAATTTATCGCTGGCCATTATGTTAATCGTAGAACCGCGCTTGTTATTATCGCACAAGTGTAACCACGGTTTATAATACTAGAACACGATGCTAATTACAGCCGGCTTGGTTCGGTCACGGTGTCTGTGCTGCATTTTAATTAATTCGCCTGATTTTTTTTTTTATGATCCAGGCATTCTAACGCGAAGATCGCGCGATATCGTCGTCTAAATGCAGCCCGCCGCGCGCTTCTCAGTGATCGCGGTAACACGGACAAATGATTAAATCCCGATTTAGAACTAAATGCAAATCAGTTCCCAACTGATACGCGTTATTAGGGTCACCTAGCTTCCCGAGGCAAAACGTCATACTCGAGTGTTGCGATATCGTTGCGGATTCTTTCCTGTATTTATCATTCATTCGATTCTTCGTTGTAAATACAAACAGCTTTAAGAATCTAGAGAATTTCTTATGAATTTCAAGTAAAAAGTTGACAGTATCCGCGACAGACGCCACGATTACAGACTTTAACGTCACTTCGGAACTATGACGTCATGGTTGAAGCGAGTTTGAATCTTCACACGAGACGGCGAGACGGACGTGAGAACCGTGAGACATCCTGTCCGCGTTCCTTTTCGATATTCTTTCCTGCTCGTCTTCCGAAACACGCTCTTGACATTCTTTAACAATCGAGCGACGTGCAATATACAGTAATATTCCGATCAACCGGCCTTTTTTCGCTGAACAATTTCAGCACTTAGTCGATTTCTCTTATAAACGTGTTCTTGATTTTTCGAAAGGATAATCTGTACTCGAACTTTAAAAATTTTAAACAACTTAAACTAGAGATTCAATGATCGTTTTTGTATTTTTTAGCGATTTTTTCTCGTCTCGTGGACCCCTGGCCAAGTTCTCTGTATCCCTTCTTCGCAACCGTTCGTTTTCTGCGAACCTCCCACCGCCCTTTCACGGGAGTCACGGTCTTCTCCGCTTTTTTACCTCGATTTTACTGAAACGTCACGCCAATAAAAAGGTTCGAGACAAGAAACGAAGCAGGATAAGCCGCGGTTCTTAAAAAGCCGACCGCAAACGGAGCAATCTTTGTCTCTGTTGGATGTCCTTTTATTAAGTCCATCCGAGACCCAAACATTAATTAGATCTCTAACAAAAATTAATCAGAGGAGCGAACCTCTTCGTCACTGTTGCTAGATAGAAACTAACGTCGATCAACCGACAGTCCCATCATTTTTCACAAAATAAAAATTCAACTATAGTAAATTCGCCGTGGAAATAAACACGATATTTATTCGATCTATTTTCAAACGTAGATTACTGGCAATTACAGGTCTCTATGCGTCAGAAGAAAAATGTTTGTTTAAAACTACTTGGGAAGGCCGGTCTAGTATCAGTTTTCTGCCCACACGCAAGCTACAACGCATTAGCTTCTGAATCGTAGCCAATAACTTTCGAGGCTCGAGGTTACGTCAAGATCTCTCGAGAGACTTCTTCTTCCCCCAAGTACCGTTTCGGAAACCTAAACCCTGTCGTCGTGATATATTGAAAGTAAAGGAACCTGTAAGATGGCTATGATAATGTCAAACCGAACCGCGTTGTATCCGGTGGGAATTCCACGACACCCTGTAGACTATGATCGGATCTTTTCCTCCGTTTCGTATCGTGCATATCGATACTACTTTCTGCTATCGATGCCCGTCGAATGTTTATCGAAAGTACAAGTCAGACGTTTTAAATCCAGCATTTCTCGTCTAAAAAGCTAGTTTACTTTTTCAAGCGGTGGCTATGGCAGCGTAATTATTTCCTAGGACTCCCGAGACACCCGATAGGGCACGGTCGGACCTCTTGGTCGCTCAAGTTCGGTTTGAGAAATGTAAAATTAGCCGCGACGATAGGTCGAAAGCAAAGGAAACGCGGGCGAGGATTAGGACGAGTCTAGCGGGTGGTATCCAAGCGGTAATCCTTTCTAAGGACTTCCGAGACACCCTATAGGCTACGGTCAGACGAACGAACGTGTTCGAGCGTATACGTGTAAACGTTGCAGGCATATACTGCACCGAAAGCGGTTGACCCTGAGAGAGCCAGGCACAAAGGACTGATTCACCCCGGGGCCCCAGTGAAGTCCTCAGGAGAAGCCTCGGCGTTCACCCAGGTCGACTTCGTTGGCTTTGCTTCTGCGCAAGTGACATAATCTTGCCAGACGTTCGACTATCGTCGCGGTTTTCCATTTAACTACCGGTTCGCCGTGATTTGCAACGTAATTGTTGATCGCGGATTCCCCGCTACCAACGAGATTACCATTCCGAGTATGTTTAACGCACAGTGGGTCAGGATCGACGGCACGATCGAGCAAGGGATGATTTATCGCGTCGATTATGCCCAAAATGCAAAACAAAATAGAACCGATAAAAAGGACTGAGCAATAATTAACTACCTTAGAATTGAACGTCACAATTTTTAAAAGAAGTTTCTCTTTCGTGTTTCAGAACGGACTAGTCGAACGACACAAATGCTATTAAGGTAATTAATTACACGAGCACGATGGGAACTCGAAGGACTTGGTCGTTGTACTCCAGAACATAACCGAAGAGAAAATGTGTATTTAAGGTAGAAATTTACAGTGCAATAAAACTGCACAAAGTGTAACAGCAATTATTCAACTATTTTAATCTGTCGGTTTCCCCATTTTTGCCCACGCGATTTAGTATTAGAGTGAAAGTGTCTTGATCCTACGAAAAGAAACGTTTGTACGGTGCATACTTTTTTTCCACTCGCGCTCTGCGAAACGAACGTTTAAGCGACTCAATTGGAAACGAACCCATACAAATTCCACATACGAGAACGGTATTTAATCCTTAAACTACCACGAAAGCGAGCAAGAAGTTACCACCAAATAATAAGCTTGAAGTAGTTCTCAGCAACAAATTCTCCTTGTTGCATTTGGAATTGAAATTGTTTTTATACTTCTGATGCTCAACCTTCGTCTAGTTTTCTCAGTCTGGTCAACGACCATTAACGTTACACGTAATCTCGGTGACTCGATATCCGAGGCTCGTTTAAATAAGTTTACGTGGACTTCTATTCGCGGTTCTTAACCAGCCGGAGGATGATGTAGAAGGAAACGACTTCGCTCCGAAGCGAACGCGATTATCCGCAAACCAGAAAAGGCTTCGTGGATGTCGTTAAAGGACATTCTCCAACGACATTGCCTATAATTTATGAGGTTTACCTCCTGATAACGTTTCGCTCTGCCGAGCCCGAAGACTTTCACCTTGATCGTAATCGACAGGAAACCTTGCGCAACTTTTCTGCATTATCTATGCATACCAGACGTTTGGTAGAAACCGAAATTCAACACGCTCTATTAGCACACCTCCGGATCGTTCGTTATTTTTTCCACGTCGATCGCTCGTGAAAACTCACCGCGATTCCTCGCCATTATTCGCGCGTGGAAGGAATTTTCAAGTCATCGATCCGCGTTATCCAATAATTACACAACGGATAACGTTTATGTTCCTTCGATGACAACGTCTCGAACGAATATTTGATTACGTACAACAAAATATGTAGGGTGAATTTGATCTATGAAAGTATTATGTAATAAAGGGTTAAGAAGACGAGGTGCACGTCGTTTGAAACGGAACGATTATCTCGTGCATTGACCCGACGCATCGAAGCGTCTGTGACCTTTAATTGGTCGTCTCGTTGCTGTCGCCAGTGTTAATAATGAAAAATTACATCTCCCACTGTTCGAACTATATTGCCTGCCATCGGTCTCAAAGTTTGCAGAACCGTAACGCGAATTCCTTTCGCGCAATATTTCCTCACGCTTGTCCGATAATCCCCCAATTAATGCCTCGGTACCTTAAACTCGATCGGCGTGTGGCAACGTTCCTTCTCATTATAGTTCGTAACGCGATGGATAATTAAAATAATATAGACCGGTAGAGACGATTAGCCGCGTGCATCCGTGCAACGCGCAAAATCATAAGGTGTAATTAAGGTAACAACGCGATCCAAGAATTTGTCAACTCGTAAGTGTAATCGTGAGGCGAACGACACTTCCCGATCGACTTGGTATCAACATAGTTCACGGACCTCTGTCCTTTGTGCGCGAGTGCGCGAAACATCTGCGTGTAATTACACGCGAGACAATGCGGCTCAACATTTTTGCAAGTGCATGTGCAACGCTCCAACGCCTTCGCGCTTTCTTTCATCGCGATCTTACGTTGCGTCACTTTGGGGACGTCGGGTTTTCGTCGATCGAACAGAGGAATTCTCTTGCAATGGTTCTCGTCTC